TAAGGGAGAGAGAGGCAAACAAATTTATAATGGTTTGGCTTCAACTCGGCCTACGTCCACTCCTCAAGTTTCACTTGAGATTTTTCACTATACTCTAGCTTCACAGAGTTCTAGCAACCTTTTCATAGATTGAGCAATCTTCCACAGATTTTACACAGACTTTCTAAGTCAAGAACACTGAGTGTACTACACTCTTACAAGGTTGAACAGGATGTGTTTTTGCTTTCATAGAAAGCCACAAGAATTATCTCTCAAAGATAGATATAAAAATGAAGCTCTGATTTTTCTATAAACCTCACACAGGAAATATGGGTTTAAAGCTATACGACTTAATGTATAATTTCTGAGAGAGGATGTAAACAAAAATTGAAGAACACTTCTCAAAAAAAATTTCAGAGAATAGATGAGAGTGATTTTAGATCAAAGAATATTTTCTGATTTTTTTTGTAACTTGTTTACATTAGAGGCTTTGGTATATATAATGAAACTTATAACCGTTTATAGCCGTTGTATTCATTTAAATGTGTAGCCGTTTATAGGCGTTGTACTCATTTGAATATCTTCCACTCCATCATTACTAATTTGAATATCTTCCACTTGAACCTTTTGGTCTGCTGCTGTGCTGGGCTGGGCTGTTTGAACCTTTGTTTTGGGCTGTTTGAATCTCTAGTTTGGACATTATTTTTGGGTTTAAATGAACTCTTGATTTAAGCAAATATTAAATACATTCAAACAATATTTATGATAAAAGTTTAGATGAGAAATAATGGGACAAAATAAATTTTGATTCTATTTTTTTCTTTCAAATAAATTAAAACATAATTTAAATAAATCATCAAAATAAATTTTGGATTCTATGAAAACATAATTAAATAAATCATTAAAAGAAATTTGGATTCTATTTTTCTTTTTCAAATAAATTAAAGCATAATTAAATAAATTATCAAAATAAATAAGTCTAACACCTTCCTTCCCTAAAATAAAATAATAATAATAATAATAAGGATCAATTCAAATATGTTCATATAATTTTTGAATTAAATAAATAATTTCAAAATTAAACAAATAAATAAATAAATAAATAAAATCTCTTGAAACACATCTCTAAGATAATTGCCTAAATTCGTCCTTTTGTAAAGTCAAATACACACTGTTGTTGACCTTTCAATTTAAAGAAATGAATTAATTAATTATTTACCCATCTTCTAAGATCTTTACCTAAAATCCTTCCTTCCCTAAAATAAATCAAAGAAAGATCAATTCAAATTTGTTCATATAATTTTTGAATTAAAAAAAATAAATAAATAAAATTTCTTCAAAATCTTCTAACATATTTACCTAAAATAAAATAATAAAAAAAAGATCAATTCAAATTGATCACGGACTAAAATCGATTTTTCAATTTTAAAAAAAAAAAAACTATTCATGTGTCTTACGTAATATCCAAATTAAACAAATAAATAAATAAAATCTCCTCAAACTAATTTTTGAGCGCTCTAATCTCTCAAACTAATTTTCCTAATTTTTTGACTTAAAAATTGGGAAAAAAAATCTAATTGGTTAGCCTGTCAAGAAATAAATTTTAAAATTCAAAATTATGAAAACTATCCCATAATTTTTGGGTTTTAAAAGGAGTGAATTACTCAAATATAGAATAGGAAAACATAAAATTATGCCTTTCCATTTTTTAATTTTTTTGAAGTAAATATTTTTAAATTTTGAAATTATATAAAACTAAAGTTATATTTGGAATTTCCTTTAAATGTTCTTAACTTTCAAATTAGATGGCTAAATTTTATTTTTGACATTTTAGTTTAAAATTTTAATTTTCAAAATTATAGATATTGTTAGATGGACTAATATTTCTATGCCATGTTTATTTACTAAAATTTAAAATTTAAAATATAGATTATTGTCTTAGAGCTAATAGCGCATTTTAGATGAAAAATCCTTATAGTTTTCTATCCCACAACAATGGAATGTTGTAAGAATCAATTCAAATCAGTAATATTATGGGAATATATATACAAAGCAAAACAAAGTCAACAATAAAAAAAAAATAATTTAATTTCTAATCCATACATATTAAATAGAAGAAAAACATACATAGATTTCGATTAAAAAAAAAAAAATACTACTTGCATGGTAGCCTTACAATCTCGAGAGCCTTGCAACCTCGAGTTTACTTTTTTTGGTGCATAAGTTTCGATAAAAAAAAATTAAGAATAAACAAAGAAATAATCAAAATGGATGTAGCATAAGAAGAGGAAAAGAGGGAGATAATACTTACAACTTGATGAATGAGTATCTGAAAAGATAATTTGATTAACCGGCAATAACACATATCAATCATCTTTACACACAAACTCCCAAGGCAATAGATGCTCCTTATTGTAGTTCTCAACTTCGTTATGTTGTGTGTTCACAATGACTTAAGAACCTATGAAAACTTAGAAAAAGGATTTGAAGAAGAGGAAAGGAAAGATAAAAGAAACATAAATGAGAAGGGGAGGAAAGAAGGGTGATTTGAGAGAGTTTTAAGGGATTGTACCTTTGTTTAGATTTTTTTTTTTTTTAAATTCAGAAAGTCAAACAAATACGAATAGTGTGAGAGGAGTATGTCACATAAGAAATAGAGTGAGGCCTCGTTTGGAAACCCTCATTTTTAACTAAAAAGTTAAAAAGTTACTAAATTAGCCAAAAACCCAACAACCCATACTAAAAAGTCAAAAATTCTCTTTTCTCTCTACTTTTTACACATCTTTTCGTAAAAAGTCAAAAAGTCATCCCAAACATATTAGTTTTTTTTAGCTCATGTTTTAGCTAAATAGCCAAAAAGTTACTAAATTAGTCTGTTCCCAAACGAGGCTTTGAATTTATAATTATAAAAATTCAAAAAAAATAATTTGAAATTCTAAAGGTATTAGAATCATTCATATTAAAAATTCCTTTAAGTATAATATATCCCTCTGCCGTTTTAGATCGCAGCGGTGGCTACGGTTGCAAACCACCGGCGATGTACGGATGGCTCAGGAAGGAAGAGAAGGAAAAAAAAAATTAAATAAATTAAACAAAAATAATAATTAAAAACAAAATAATAAAAATAATATTGAACAAAATAAATTGAAATAAAAATAAAAAAATAAATTAAACAAACTAATAATAAAAATAATTTATTAATATTGAAATAAAAATAAAAACGGCGACGGTGGTGGCGGCGGCGGCGGCGGTGGAGGAGGAGGAACGAAGGTGGAGGTGATGAGATGGTGACGGGTTGGCAGCGGCAGTGATGGTGACTGTAGTAATGGTGACATGATAGTGAAAGTAATAGTAGTGGTGGTAATGTAGTGATATTAGTAAAATTTTAGCTTGAAAAATATTTTTTGCTTTAAGAGTAAGGTTCCAAATGAACCGAACTGTTCATGAACAAGCTCGGCTCGGCTCGTTTATTTTTATTTAAATTATATAATAAATATATTATTTATATATTAACTATTATACATAATATATAAATATATATAAATAATATTTTTTATTTAAATAATATTAAAAAAAACTTATCGAGCAGAGCCGAACTCTAGCTTTATTAATGTTAACAAGCCGAGCTGAGCTCGAGCTTAGCAAAATTCGGTTCGGTTCGTTTGGAACTCTACTTAAAAGTGAAAAATATTTTTTGCCAGTATAATCTTATTTTTTGTTAAGTATAGAAAATATTTTCTGTTAAACTTTATTTTTTATTGTACAAAACGTTAAAAAATACAAAAACTATTTTTCAAAAAATGTGTTCCTCCCAAACAAACGGAGCATGGATGTAGATAAATTTCGAGGCTATATTTTCAGAGTTGAAATATTTTCACTGTATCCCAAATTTGAAATAGTAGTTTTTATTTTTTATAATGACCCCACTAATGTTTTTATTGTTTATTTTTCTTGAAAATGAAATGAGGGCAACTTGTCTGTTTTTGACTCCTTTTATGCAATTATGAACTCTTTCCATCCATGAGCCAACAGTAAAAAGTAGAGACATCAAATACTTGCCTCTTTTACCAAATTTGGAAATTAATTCAAATTCGATTTGAAGATTGTTGAAACATAGTTTTAACGGTTTTATTTGTAACCTTGCAATTAAATTAATGTATCCGACATGAGAGAGGTGTCGTGAATATAGCCTATAATTTTTGGATGTAGTAATTTTTTCAAATGTCTAAAAATTGAATTATCATCTTTAAAATTTAGAAAAATTACATGCCAATGGAGTTTTTAATAACGTATTTATGAAAAAAATTATGATTTATTTTTTAACATTTATAAAATTTATTACTAATTTTAAATACTTTTCTAAATATACAGACAAATTCTTCTTAAAATTTTTTATAGCCAGTACTTGAAGAGCACCCACACTTAAACAATCTAATGGTAACACTAGAGACGTGGAAGATATATACACTCGTTGGTTTCAGCAGAGAGTATTTTTTGAAAAATATTTTTAGTAGTTTTTGACAACAGGGAATAAGTTTATTAGTGTGTAAAATGTTTTCACTTTTGAAAAATGTAAATATTTTTTAAACTAAAATTTTACTAATACCACCACTACAACCACTATCACCACCTTTGCCACCCTACCTATCACTTCCATCACCATTATCACAGCCGCCACTGGTGCATTAATTTCAAAACTGCAACCAAACATATAATAAAAGTTTTCTACAAGGAAAAATAAATTTTGGAGTATCTTGTTAAATAATATTTTCCGTCATAACAAGTAGAGCAATGGATTGAGTTCAAAATCTCACTAGGTTCTATATTTACTTGGCAATTGGCAAGTTAAAATTTTCATTCGAGACAAAGTAGATAAAGAACCATCATTTTTTATTTTATTGGGTTAATAAAATAAAATAAAATAAAACACATTCAACCCAGATGAATTGAAACTGGACTCTCAATTCAAACATAAAAGACACTGAGAGTCTCACAAGTTGCTGAAAAAGAAAAACAAAAAATGAAGCAAACAAATGGAAAACCATTTCTTAGGCTGTTGTTAAATGCCATTTCAATCCTGATTATTATTATACATTCACAAATACAGTTCTATTGACACACTCAAATTCATATCTCCAATACCAAACCCAAAAAAAAAAAAATGAAACACACCTTTGCGTGCAGAAAGGCTGTTTCCGTGTAACCCTTATTGGTATGGGCCGTATGGCACAATATCATACACTACCTCATCCTTTTATAAAACACATGTGACGTGGACTCATTTATGGGCAGAAACATAAGAAACCCAGTAACATTGGAGGTTGCCGAGCTGGCTGCACCGTGGAACAATGTAAAATTTTCGCCAAAAATGCCAGCGCAGATGTCGAACTATAATGCTCTTCGTCTCATTTGCCAGGAGAAGCGAATCTTGACTTCTGTCGATTTGGAGCTCGATCTTTTGGTGATGATGTTTTCCCTACCACACCCACTTGACGCATCATCTCTACAAACCAAAATTTTTCACATATCACAATTAGAAACATGAAACCATGCGAGTTGGGAGACGGTTACAACTGCATTTGTACTTGTAAAAATCCTAATTTCTCATCTCCTACAATTCATTTCCATGTAAAAAGCAGAAAGTGAACCGGTGTTTCTACTCTCTCGGAGATGAGCTAGCCAGGATAGAGCAGTATCCAATCTGAACCACACAAGTTCAGTGTATTTAGCATTTGTTGCCAGTTTCCTATTTTTGTTTACATGTTACAGATGACTTTTTTTTTTTTTTTTTTGGTTGCAAACAACAAAAACAAAAACATGTTTGGTACTAACATACGATTTTCAAAACATATAAAAGCAAAAACAAAACATGTCGGTGACCAGTGTGGGGGTTGTTGGAGGTGGTGGCCAAAGGGAGAAGGGAATTAAAACTCATTTTGAAAATAAATCAAAGATCCTTTTTATATACCTCAAATTTTGAAAAAAAAATCAAACTTGTCACTTTTTGGAAACAAAAATAGTTCCCAAATGTGTTTCTGTTTCCAGTTTTCATAATTTTTGAAAATAAAAATCAGACCCAATAATTAGTTTGTAAACCTCAAGGATTTTGCAACATTCCTATAACTAAAGCGCGTATAGGGAAAATGGGGAGCAATTGGATGGCAATCTCAAATTTCTCCTGTCATAGAACATGCATTCTGAAGTTCAAAAAAATCAATTCCGGTGTCCTTGTGGATCAACCAAGGAAAATCATTTGAATCCTAGTACTGTTGACCCTAAATGCACATATTGTTACCAATCAAATGTACAATTTCAGATACCCACACGGATTTAAAACAATGTGGTAAAGCTGAGAGTCATCAAAGTCAAGCAAGTAAGCATTAGAGAACAGAGAATAGATCAAATGCAAAATTATACAAGAGTGAGAGACATCTACCTCGCTTTCTCTCAAGCTCTTGGTCCAGCTCCTCCTTCCACTTCTTCTGTATCTCGGAAAAACTGACACTAACACATTTTTCTATTTCAGGTTACTGCATATCCGGCTGACAATCAAAACAGTGCAAGCTTAAGAAAGCATTAATGGATGGACTAACCTCGGGCTACCTGGTTCTTGATCAGCGTCAGCTTGGAGCCCTCTCCGATCATTAAGCTGAGGTGACGGAGTGTCCAGCAAACATTGATTACTAGCACTGCCAACATTTGATATCCGCCTGCTAGAACTCCCAGGGCTAGCATTGCTTACGCCATCAACTGCTGAAGATGGAGATACGGTGGGGACCCGATTGGGTGATCTACTTTTGGGAGGTAATTTCAGGTAATTTGGACTGCTTTCATCTCTTGCAGTCTCAACAAAACTGGTAGAACAAGAAGCATTCAAACTGTTGAAGAACTCTTCATACAAAGGCGTCTGCAGTTTCTTCAGTTCTAGAGCCTGAGAAAGTGAAAAAGGTATGCCATAACAATACAGTGCAAACATAATGTTAAATCCCAATATTATATGACAACTAATTGTTCCTTCAGTTAAAACAGAAAATAAAATAACGGCAAACAGAAAGTACCTTCTCATCCAGAAAGGCCCTTATTTTAGACTCGGTAAGCTCATCATCATCCTCAGATAGTGATGGCCCACAGTGAAATTCATTGTCCTCTTTTCCAGATGTTCCAGAGTAAGTGAGCAGGAATATCAACTGGTTGAACATTGTCCAAGTTCACTTTTCCTTCATCTAGTCTCAGGCTCTCGTCATCTTTGCACATCCAATCATCAGAGGGCTCACAAATTGGGTTAAAACTCTATTGCAAACAAAGTCATACATTAATTATCAATTCCTGAAGACCTGTATGCTAAGAGCTTGTACAATACTTGAGAACATGAGAGCAGCTCTATACCTTATTAAAGATGTCAGGCATGAAAGCAGGGCTCATCTTTGCTTCTTCACCCAAGACAAAATCATCTTTCTCATCAATCTGACACATGTCATCTTCACTGTTGTTTGCCCCCCATATATGACTACTTCCAGAAAATTTGTCAAAATTTACAGTTGAACCACTCAGACTACCCAAATTACAGATATCCATTGAGCCAGGGCTATTTGTCATTGGAATAGCAAAAGTATTAATAATACATTATCAAAAGATTTTCAAATCTGATTAGGTACAATCTGGCAAGTTCAGAAGGCACCAAACCAAACCAAAATACTTACGAATTTTCCTGATTTATCCCACATGAAGGCGAAACAGGTTTGGAATTTTCCTGATGGCATCAAAATTAGTAAAGTAAAAGGTAGTTTTCAAGAAGACATTAATAACTTCATATTTTAAAAAAATAAATAAATAATAATAATAATAATAACCCTTTAAATTGAACTAACCATGTATGGAGTACAAAAAACAGCAGGAGACTGCAAAGGTTCCCCAGTAACAAAGGGATGCTGTATGTGATAGTAAAGCAAAAATATAAAGACACAAAAAAATAAATAAATAAAATTGAATGGCCAAATTTGCATCGCCAAAAGGAAAGGGTTAAATCACCTGCAGCAACTCACATGCAGGTGGCCTCAACTCTGGCTCCCTGCCAACATAAAACAGGAGGATCACTTAAAGAGTACCAAAGAGAGGAGAAAATAACAATTGTAACAATAAATAAATAGAGGATTATAAACCAACAAGCCATAGGTCTCTGACAATTATTTCTAAGCAGTCATTATTATTAAATGATAATCCAAACAATCTTGTAGGGCAGATAATCTTTATGACATCTACGGGTTGGAAATTAAAATCCACTCCATCAAAATTTTCAACAGAAAAAAAAAAAAAAAAAGGGAGAAAAGGAAAGTATTGTTCTATTGTTTCTTTTGAGGTGATATAGATCAATGCCTGGACTGGGAATGGGGGAACTAGAGCAACTAAAATTCAAGCCTTTTACAGATTATTAAAGGTTAGTAAAACATTACTGTTGTAAGCATTTCAGCAGAAAATCTTTTGCCTCATCAGAGAGGTTTTCTGGGATAGGTGGATGAGACTTTGTTGTGCCAATATAAAAGAGAGCTGCAACCTAAAAGGAACCTGTTGTTAGTTCAAAGAACAGACAAACACTCACATTGAGAACATTAGCATCTAATTTTTAATATGTCATAGACAGAACAAAAAGAACAAAAATCAAACAAACAACACTTGCTGCAGCCGTGTACCTCTTGGTACTGTTGGCTCCAGGGAGGCTTGCCAGTAGCCATCTCAATTACAGTACAACCAACACTCCATATATCAGCAGAGCTAGGACACAACAATAAGTAACGAAAACATTTAGTCCATCGAAAACAAACCAGCAAAATACGTTAAAGCTAGGAAATGTGCAAAAGGGTGAATTTTTTGACAAATCAATTAAAAGAGTTTGACAAATTGATATATATGTAAATCTTTTCAACTAGTACAAGCATCAACTAAATCAAATAATCACTGGAAATTTGTAATAATGAAAAAGGTAGTTGTAAATTTAAATACGTGTATTCTTTAAACAATAAAAATTAGGGGTACTTACGTGTAGGTCCTAATAAGTGAATTTATTATTTAATAGATCCTATGATAAAAATTTGTCATAAAAAAGTCACTAATTGTAAGTTTGAGTGACAATTTATAAAAATCATTACAAAAAAAAGTCACTAATTGTCAATTTTTAGCGACATATGTAAAAAATTGTCACAAAAAAATTATTTTTAGTAACAATTTTATCAAGTCTTATTTTCAATAAGACTTGTAGGAATTAAGTCCAACTATTAGGACCTATTTGTAGTTTCCCTAAAAATTAAGGACTAAAGATATCTATTTCAAGTAGCCAACTATAAGCTCCTGAATCTAGAATACATAATACTTACCTATTTTGTCATTAAAGAAAAATGCATCTATCTATAAAGATGTGAATTTGATATTGATTGGCATATAAAATAAAACGAGCACCTTTTTTGAGCCTATAGGTTACTCGAAGGTGCAAGCCTGAGCGCTTTATGTAGGTTTGACAAAAGGGATCTGGCCTAACCTAACATATATTGAAGCACTTTTTTAGAGCCTTGATGAGCCTATAGGGCTTTTTTGGGGCCCAAGCACACATTTAACGACTATGTCAGAAGTGTTGGTGCCCGACACAGGTTCTTCTTACTGTACGTGTCCATGCTACTCTCTGTGTGTGTGTAAAATGCATGTCTATTGTTTGTGTACAATTCCTAACCATCCAATACAAAATTGACTTACCCCATGGAGGTGAAGGGAGAAGTGGTACTTAGACTGAAATAAATATTTGTACAGAGCATTTTATGAGAAACCAAAAACATTAAAAAAGCTGAAATATTTTCCATAAATGTCCAGCTTACAAACAAATGAGCATTAAGCATCCTCCTGTTTAAAATCAAAGAATAAAACAGAAAATAAAAGTCACATGTAACCATTAAGGTGAATAGAGGGTTATGGTTATCCTTACAAGTTATGACCAGTCTGCCGAATGACTTCAGGAGCCATCCAATACGGTGTACCCTTCATAGACTTGGCACCTGAAATAGTAACCTATAGTAACATAAATCTTTATTAGACAGGATATTTCAGCACAAAAGTGATCTTACAATCCAAGAAAATCCTACAAGTAAATTGAGAGTGAAAGAGCTAGTGGTGTAAATACCAGGTCAATGACTTGTTTGGATGCACCAAAATCTGCAAGTTTAATGCATCCTTTATTATCAACAAGGATGTTAGCCCCCTGGATATCAACGAAAAAAATATATATATATGTATTAGTTGTTCACAACATACCTCAAGGACAAAAGCCCAGAAAGGAGAGAAGCAGTACCTTGATATCCCTGTGCATAATTCCATTTTTGTGAAGATAATCCAATCCCAATAACAATTGTTTGGTGTACATTCTAATAACCTGCTTGATAAATTAGTACACTAGGTAAAAAGACAGAGTGAAAGCGCCAGTATTTTTTCAATTTAAATTTTTATACAAACTTACAGCCTCTGGAAAAGATCCAAATTTCCCCAATAGTGATGAAATTGATCCTCCAGGAACAAATTCCAACAATATATTCAAGGTTTCCTCCTCTCTCACTGTTCCCAAGTATCTCTGAGAAACCACAAAAAAAAATATTTTTCAAAAAAGCACATAAAAGTAAAAATAAAAAGATGGGCACAGTTTGGAAAAGTTAAAAATGCCATAAATCCACCAGAAGAACATAAGATTCAACTTACAACAATGTTTGGATGAGAAAGATTCTTAAGAAGTTTTACTTCCTCCTCGAGCTCCTTCACATGAGCCTGCTTACACCAATTAAAAGGTCCCAAAATTAAGTACAGAACTATTTTAATGCCTTGTTATAAGAAAACAGAATAAATAGATCACTTGTTAGAAATCCAAAGCATGACGATACTCTTTGACAGTAATGTGATACATAAAATCCGATATTTTTATGGATAAACTGGTACATATGACCAATGCATTTTACATTACAAAATAAATGTATCTTATGAGACATGATGTGATATACTTACATCAAAGCAATAACTCACATTAGATTCTTGATTGCTTTTGATTTTTTAGATCCGAAAAAGCAAAAAACTCCACTCAACTCCTATTCAAACCATAGGTTTAATAAGATGAGATTTTCCTTTGTCAAACATACTTTATCGTAAGATAAAAAAATAAAAAATAAAAAATAAAAAATCAAATTACATTCCCATTTACTCAGATTTTCATCAAACAAACAAAGGAAAAACTTGCAAACACAATCCATTGCATAATAACAATAATGATGATGATGGAGTACTGCTCTGCAATGCAGGTAGTTACTAATTTTGAATATTGCATTTGATGTAACCTTAGAAAACAAATTGTGCCAAGCTATGGCTATCTTCCCCAGGTTTCTGAGCAAATACAATATAACATCATCTTAACATACTAGGAAAAGTAATCGATGCACGCAAAAAGAAAACCTAGCAATGATGAAATGCTTCAATTAATGTATAGAAGGAACTGTATACATAACAATAGCATTTGATCCAACCTAAACCTAACAATGATGCAATGCTTCAATTAATGTATATAAGGAACTGTATAGAAAACAATAGCATTTGATCCAACCTGTGCTTTCTCCTTCGAAGCACCGTTCGACGCTATCAACACCTGAACAATCAATAACCGATCAATTAAACCAGAATTAACTCAAAAATCAAACTCAGCAAAAAGCAAAACTGAACATAATAAGTAAACAAGAATGACCTGTTTGACAGCGAGAAGCTCTCCGGAATCGAGATTCATCCCCATGTAGACTCTTCCGAAAGCGCCGCAACCAATCAACTCACCTTTCCGCCACCGGATGGGTGGCGTATCGATCGGGGGAGACGGAGATGGCGGAGGGGGTTTGGAGAAGACTCTGGATTTGCGAATGCAAGAGTTGATCTTGTCGACTAGGGTTCCGACGGTGGTGCCTTCGTCACCGCCACCGCCGTCCGGCAAACGAAACACCAGCGATCGGCGGACGGAACCGAACATGTCTTGCATTTTCGATTGAAGAGAGCAAGTTCTACTAGGGTTTCGTGTGTGAGTGAGTGAGTAGAGTCTGAGTGAGTAGAGTTTGTATAGAATGAGAGCGTTTTGGGGTTAATTTTGGTTCCACAGTAGAGAGCGAGAGAGGAGAGAGAGGGAAAAGGTAATAGAGATTGGTTTGAAAAGTGGTGACACTATCGCCAGAGCAATTTTGGCTAGGTTCAGAGCTCTTCATATGGTTATTACGCAGCATATTGGTTGTCCGCTGCTCTAGATTCAGCCATAATTGCTCTGGCAATGGGGTCAAATATATAATATAAATAAAATAAATCATGTTCATGTCTCGATGCCTCATTTTTTTAAAAAAATAATACAACAATTTAAGTCTTAAAAACATAAAAATAAAAGGGAAAATTGCATTTTGGTGGAGTAGTGGCAAAAAAAAATTATTTTCATGATGGTACAATTCTTTTGTGTGGATGGTGCAAATCTTTTTGTGTTAAAGTTGTGTCCAAAAAAATTCATTTGTAATGCAATTATTTTGTGACTGTTTCATGTATTTGTAATTTCTCCAAAATAAAAAGGATGATTCATATAATATATTTTTAATAATTTCTTCATATATTCAAATCAAGAATTAAGAAGTTAATATCTACTCTTATCTTCAAACTTTTATTGAATTAGAAAAACCTACATATTTCTATATTGGTGCGGGCAAGGATAAGTGAATGGATCAAAATGACTGTGCTATACCTATACATAATTTTCAATAATCTGGTGTCTGGATCAGTTTACGTAGACCTCGACTGTCCGATACATGATAATATGCCATAATTATGATAATTTAGGTTTTGTTTAGATTAAAATGACCGTCCTTAATGTAACACTTCGTATTCACTTGACTAGTGAGATTGTTATTGACACTCTTATTATTATACTTAGAGCCTTTTTGATTCATTTTAGAGCATTGATTGGGGTGGTATCATAATGGTAAAGTATGATTGAACCAAAAATATTGATTTGAACAATTGTCTTATGTGTAGTTTTCACTCTTTTACCTTTTTCTCTTTCCATACTTTGAATTTGGATGTGAGGCTAGAATCAATGGAAAGTTTGTTTCTAGGGCTTCGATTTAAACACAAGAACGACCCAAAATGGAGTCCGGACAAGGGAGTTATGTCCGTTTGAAATTTGAGTACTTATGTCGGAAGTAAGTCTACTCAAGCGAACGTTTAACCACCTGAGCGGTCTATTTGAGTTATAGAGATTCTAGGAGCTTTTTTCACCGCTCGAGCCAAGCTTTGACCACTTCTATTTGAACTCAGCTACTTTAAAATCACTTTTTGGTCCAAACTTTTCATTATTTCTTCCTCTTTTCTCTCCTTCTCCTCCATACCCAAAACCCTAAACCCTAGACTCCAAACCGTGATTTCATCTATTTTTCATCAAGAATCCACCATAGATTTTGCATTAAAGGTGAAGAACAAGTGAAGATCAACATTTTGACCGATTGAATTGCGATTTCTTCAAGGTTTCTCTCTGGGTTTGCATTTTCTTATCTTCATTCTTGAGGTAGGGTTACTTTTAACCTGGTATATCTATGTTTTGGGATACATATGTGGTCTTTTCCCAAATATAATTATGTATGAGTTAATTTTTATGAATTAAAGTGGGTTTGATGAATGAAAAGGATACCCCATGTTTTGGACAAATCATGATATATTATAGTTGATTATTGTTATTGGTGATATAAATTAACTTTTTAAGTGCAAAGGAATGGAAAGTCCCAATTTTTCAAAAATTTTAGCTTTCAAATTTTGATTTAATAATGGGTTTGGACAAATTGACTCTTAAATCTTGTAATTTGGTAGATAATTTTGACAATAGTGTTAGGATAGGAGGTTTTTGAATTTTCTTAGATATAAATGTATTGAGTTTGGTATATGTTGAGATTGTGAAAATAATGAGATTGGAGAAATTCTTTAGTTGTTGATATAATTAAATGTTGTTGTGAATTGAATAAATCTTAGGGAATTTGGATTTAAAAACTCATGCATCATGTGCATTATGATTTTATCTTTTGACCTTACAATCTCATGGATGTTTGGAAAATGTTGAAAATGGGTAAATAGCGTATGAGTCCGGGTAGTTGAGTCAATTTTTGGAAAATAATTGTGTATTGTGTTGGTCCCACGCAGGGAGTTAAGGTGCCCAATTGTCCTATCTTAAGCTTATCGCCAGACGAATGTGGAAAAATATTTTTAGGTGTCCACGGGTCCTGCCATATTATAGTTGATAAAAGTAAAAAAAAAAAAAATGAATGATTTTGGGTGCCAATTTCCTACCGTATTAATAGCCGGCAAATGTGAGGTATTTTCTGTATATAAATTTATTTGTAAATATGGTTTTGTGGCTTTTACTTGAAACGTCATAGCGTATTTATCAGCCCGTGGTTGCAAATGAGATTTTGAACGGAAATCATGCATTGAGCATTTTTGGTTTTAAAAGAGAAAACATAGATTTGTAACAAGTGTATGGCATGGTCATATGCATTTCGATAATTTATGTATCTTATTAATATTATTTCCTACTAGGTAATAGCTCACCCCAAACTAACAACATTTTAGGAAATAATGGTGTGATTCCGCCAAAGTGACTTCGCGATAGATGTGTTTTAACTGGAGCACGAAGGCTCACTCAAAATTACTTGTTGAGGCTATGAAACTGTTTTGTGGTTTGGGACTGACCGTCCATTTTTGTGTAATCAAGAACTATTCTTGAAAATATGTATGCCATTAGGGTACTTTACTTCTGTATTCCTTTACTCTCTAAACTGTTATTATTTATGGTTGTATGTTAATAATCAATGATGGATATTTCACTTAGAATGGTACAATGATAAAGAAATTATTTTGAATAAAAGTCTTCGTTCTTTAATGGATTTAATTATAAAATGAATAATAAATTTTGGAGCGTTACACTTAATGTCTCTCTCTCTTTTTTTAATATATTATAAATCACAACTTATGATAGGGGACTCAAACCCCTAACCTTATAGAAAAAGTGCAACCATTTTGATAACTTGAATTTTTATGACATTCAATTTATCATTTATCTTTATGAGCTTTTTAATGTGAATTTTTTACTTTTTTTAATCAAAAGTCTCACTACAAAAAATTAAGGTTTTAGAAACTAAAATTTAGGAATAAAATTATTTTTTAGGGACCAAATAATTTTGTTGCGAAAAGTGTTGTTATTATATTTTTAGTAACAAAAATTAGACATTAGCGATAAATTATTATCTTTTTGGGACCAAATTTTTTGTCTCAAAAAATAAACCATTTTGAGACCAAATTATTTTGTCCCTAAAAGTCTATTTATTAGTGACATTTTCAAATTTTCGTCGCTAAATGCCTTATTTTTGACTTTTTGAGACGACCTTTTAGAGACTATTCTCGTGACAATGAAAATTGGTTCCTAAATATCTTTTGCAACAAAATTTTCACTTTTAGAGACCAAAATATTTGATCTCCAAAATTCTTATATGTTGTAGTGTCTAAACTAAAGTTGAAATTCAAAGTCACATAAAAAAGATATTCAAATTAAAAAGTCATTATAAGTTGGATATATCATAAGTAAAAGTCTAAAATCTTATGAATTTTTTTATTAAAAAAAAAAATTGGAGAATCAAAAAGGGTAAGGGGTGTTCGAGAAGGGACTAGGCGGATGGTGTTAGGGTGGGAAGAGGACAGAAGGACTCTCAAGTGGTAGTGGGCTGGGTATTCAGAGGTTGCTAAGAGTATCAATCAAGGTGGGCTGGGTATTAGAAGAATTAGGGATGTGAATGTGTGTTTACTTCTCAAGTGGTGGTGAAGGTTTGCCTATGAACATAATTCATTATAGACGAGGGTTATATGTAACAAGTACAGATTTCCAGAAGGAAATTGGCTTCCATCTCTGACCCCAGGAATCAATTTCTCCAAACTTTGGAGTGACATTGTAGCAACAGTTGAACAAAAGGACTCTCTCCTGCGGTACAATGTTAATAACCTACAATTCAAAGTGGGCAATGGTTGTAGAATCAGTTTCTGGCATGACAGATGGTGTGCAAATATTTGCCTTAAAGATGACTTCCAAAGGCTATTCAGATTGTCCAATGATAAGGAGGGATCACCTAAGGACTTTGTGGATCTCTCAAACTCCTTTGGGAACTGGTTACTCAATTTTAGAAGGCTCCTAGTTAAATGGGAAAATGAGGAACTACACAGACTCATTGGCACCTTGACAGCAGCACCTGAATTGAATCTAGAGGTCCAAGATAGTGTAGTGTGGTTAGCAGCAAAGCCAGACTAGTCTCTTGTTTCTGTTCTTTACAATCATACTAATCTTAATTTGGGTAGTAATGTTAGCATCAGTAAAATGGTGTGGATCAAATATCTCCCACCCAAAGTGCAATTCTTTGGTTGGCTCGCATGGAAACATAAGGTCAAAACACTAATGTTCTTGCAACGGATTGGTATTTTGGATAGAATTGCATCCACTATGTGCATCTTCTGTAAAACTCAGCAAGAAACAATTGAACATGTACTACTATTTTACCCTATGGTGTGGAGGATATGATCTGGTCTGTTGCAGTGGTGGGGGGCTATTTAAGTGGTACCAAGATCCATCGAAGGCCTGCTACAATGGTGGGCAAGGCATTGCTACAATAAAGAGAAAATGAGAATTTGGCGTGCCATACCACTTGTCACGACCCAAACCCACCCTTATGGGTTTAGCGTCGTAACTGGCCAATAATCATTGGATTACCAAAGGCCTCTTAACATAATAATATATAATTAGGGGCTACGGAAGCAAATACATAAAATATACATAGTTCATCGAGCTGTAAAGACACACATGGGACATATAATCTTAAACTTTTATAAATATACGAGTGACGTCAAAAGATACAGTATTTACACGTCACTTCATGAACATATAAACAGAATAACTTGTTTATAGGGCAAAAGAAACAAAGTCTTTTACATTCATAATAACACAGCCACTAGACTTGACTTGATCTGAAACCTCATCGGGAGGCACAAAGGTTGGCTGACAAAAACTGAGACGCCAGGTCCTCAACTTTGAGCCTGGTCACGTGCCTGATCACCTATATACATAATATAAATAGTGAGCGGGAGCCCAGTGAATAATAACAGAGTAAAAGGGTTAAATGAATGATGTCCCATAATCAATTCAGAAATCAGAGTTCATATCGAAACAGATTCATATCAAATTATTGTGTAGAGCATATACAGAAACCAAAGTTCATGCTTAATTTTACATGGCTTATCAATTAGCGTCAACAAATCATTTACAAAGCATCTTAGATCATACTTGTCAGTTGCATAGAGGAGCCTCCAGCCAAGTACGGATAACTTGTCAGTTCCATAAAGGAACCTCTGGATTGGGAACGGATAACTTGTCAGTTCCATGAGGAACCTCCAGTCGGGTACAGATAACTTGTCAGTTCCATAAGAAACCTCCAGTCCAAGTACAAATAGCATACTTGAATCATAGCATAAATACCACAAACATCTGTCAGAGTTGGACAATCATTCATAATATAAAACATGGCATTTCACAGAACAGATCTTATTCTATATACAGAAAATAATTTAACTTGAACATAGGTTTACTAAGTTATTGCAAAAGTGCTGGTTGCTTGATTTTTCCACTCGATGCTCGCTCGACGCTCACTCGAGCGTGAGAGACATGCCCTCGCTCGAGCGTAACTTTTGTCACTCGAGTGGTCTGCAAAACATAAGAACTTCTGGTAGTATGCATTTTATGCTCGAGCGTAGGAGCAGAATTCTGGAATTTTCAGATTTGCTCCCAAGCTCAAAACTCAAATTCAAAGCCATTAAACTCAACCTTTGGGCCCCCAAACTTAAGAAAACATGTCCAACCTTGGAAAACACAAAAAATTGAAGATCATTTCATGAAATCAAGGCTTAAAAGCATCTCAATTGTGCAAAATACAACTTGAAATGTAAGAACATGATGTGAACATGTCATGCATGTGTTTATTTGAGTTCATAGCTTTCAAACACATGATCAAATGAGACATTTTACTTAAAAACATGGTGAATCCTTAAACTTCAACCAAAATATGAACATGCATGGGACAAATTCTTAGACAACATACTTTAAATGCAATGTAATGCACATGCAAGTATGTACTCTTCTCTTCTACTTCATTAAGTTTAGTTCTTACTCAACTCACTTATAAGTACCCTAATTACACAACTAAAGACTTGATTTCTTACCTTAGGCTCTCAACTCCTTGAATTCTAGTGAGTTCTTGTTCAATTTCTTCAATTATTCTTAATTCTCTAGCAAATTCCTTACTGAAGACTTCTCCTTGGTCTCTCACTCTCTCTACACGTTTGTGTGTGTGTGTGAGCTCAAGATGTCTTGGAGTGGAAGAAAAGAATGAGTGGGAGGACTTAAGAAGCCTTATATAGGCTTGCCTAATGATAGTTAATTAAGACTAATCAAATAAGCCATTAAATTAATATAATTTAATCGTTCTGAATCGAATTTTAATTAAACCTACTATAAAATTTTAAAAATTCTAATTAACACAAAAATCAAGTCAATTGCTGAATTGGATGCCAATAAGGCCTTCAATTTGCAAACCGAAACGAAAACATGAACATGTCTTTCTACGTTAAACAAATACAAACACACATAAGGCAACATATAATGCAAAATCTCTCTTTAATTACTTATTAGGCATAATTAAGAATGAATTAATGTTAATCATGGGTTGGGGTTGTTACACCACTGGTGGCTCTTTGGTCCATATGGAAGCATATAGAAACAAGTGCCTTTTTGAAGGTTCTTAACATAAGATGCTGGAGCTGCAGGAGCTTATAGTCACTAGGCTTGCAATTTGGTTAAAGGCCACATCCAAGGAGTCTCAATTCTCGATTTATGATTTCCCTTATAACTTCTCACAAATTAGGTACTGTATAGGTGGTGGTCTGGTTTAGGGTGTTTGCTATTGTCTTCCAGTGAGAAGTGTCTTGCAGTTGATAATTGTATTGGCTAATGTTTTGTGGGGTGTTTGGAGTTGGAGACTTTCTAACTCTTATGCACATGATTAGCCTTGCTTTGGGTGCTAACCTTGTTGGGATGCATGGCTAAGATAATGATGCTCCTCTCTCCCGAGCTTTGTATCTTTTATTATTTAATATGTTTCCTTTTCCTTGCCGCTCAAAAAAAAAAAAAAAAAAAAAAAAAAAAAAGTGGGAAGAGGACAGACAAATGGGGTGGCGCAAAGAAGGGGTGGGGTGTGGTATTTGTAGGGTTGCAGTTTTGTAGCGAGTGTGAGCAAGGGTAGAATTGGCAAGGAGAGTTTGTAAAGGGTGGGATGGCGGTTGTATATGTGGAAATGGGTGGTGCCTAGATGGGGAAGAGAGATAAGTAGGTGTGAAGAGAAATTTTTAATGGTAATTTGCTTTATGAGGCTCCGTTTGGCAAGAGCTAAACGGGGCTTTTTTGGCTATTTTAGCCACAAAAAACAAAATATCACATCCAACCCATAATCATTACATTATTCTCTCACAAAAAAAATCAAAAAAGCCAAAAAGCCAAAAAAGTCCTTCCCAAACCAAACTTTTTAGCCCAGGCTAAAATAGCCAAAAAGCCAAAAAGCCAACCCACTTCCCAAACGGAGGCTGAGTAATATTGTAATATTTTTTTGTGTTTTTTAAATAATGGCTGTAATAATATGATAAAAGTGAGGTGTAAATAGAAGTTCTCAAGTTTTAACAGATTAATAGGAATAAATAGATTTACGAAAGAAAAATGTCAACAAAATAAATTTTAATTTTTTTTTATACTTTTCGTACAAACTAATGTGACATGGAATGATAAAACTTTATAATGGGAAATGGGACTCAGTTTATTAATGTGATTATTAGTGTTATATTATTCCTTTGTAAAAATAATAAAAATAGAATTACTTGTGAAGCATAACTCTTCATGAAATCGATCTCAAATAGTTGGACTTAATGAAGTTGAATCAATACTATACATATGATAAGTTGATAGGGACATTCATCTAACACACAAAAGATAGAGACAGAGTGGGTTTATAGCTCAAAGGATTAGAACACGTGGCTACGAACTACGGTTTCATGGATTGCACTTCTTTCATATTTAAATAGAAAATGTTTGCGACAATGGGCCATCTTTCGATAATCCGAATTGTTCATTTAGTAAGACTTTTCATGTATACCATGCAGGGAAAAAATTAGGTCGATATGATAATTGTAATATTTTTATTTTATAATGTTTGTCTCTCAAAATGGACAATTCATTTTAAAAATAAACCATATTTTTTTATTATTTTTTTAAAATCAAATGTGATAAAATGAAAAGTCTACTATTATTAGATCGATATGATAATTGTAATATTTTTATTTTATAATGTTTGTCTCTCAAAATGGACAATTCATGTTAAAAACAAACCATCTTTTTTATTTTTTTTTTAAAAATCAAATGTGATAAAATGAAAAGTCTACTGTTATCACACCAGCTTATTTTTTTCTATGCAATAATATGCGTGGTATATATGTATAATATAGGCAAATGAGTTTGTAAAGCTTGTTCAATTGTGCTCACAATGATGGTTCATGTGAACTGCAGGTTCTATCTTCTTATCTTAAAATTCTGATAGGGTTTGATTTCTCTTAAGTTGGCTATCTCAAAGAATTTAGTAGGCTCATTTGTGACCGATTTCGATAATCTAAACTGTTCATTTTTTAAGACTCAATGAGTGAATATATTCATACAAAAAAAACAAGATGATCGCATATCAATAGTTATATGTTTGAATTCAATTTGTATTACAAAAAATGAATATCTATTATTGAAATTATATTTATCATCTAGTCATGTTGATCTTTTACATGAATATTCTAGCCAACTAGTCATAAGAGTAACGATTCTGTTTACCAAAATTTGTCCCAAAATGGGCGTAACCAAACCTAAACGCTCTCTTAAATTGAGATGACAACTTTAGAGAAACCAAATCCATTGGGATTTATACGCCTACTATAATTCGTTTGGGAATTGACTTTTTTTAGACTTTTTGATCTTTTTACAAAAAGATGTGTCAAAAAATAGAAAGAATGGGTTGACTTTTCTGAAAATGCCATTCACATAATGTAGATAACTAATATTTTCTAAAGTAATTCATAATTGAAGAGGCTCTCTGGTGGTAACAGTTAAAAGAGGTCAAGAGCACTAAGACATAAAATTTAACCCCAATTTTATCAGCTCCTTTGAAGTTGGAGGAAGGCCACAATTCCATACAAGGTGCTGAACAAGAGCACTCCCCAAACAATTCCATGGTTTCTATGATGCATCATGTGGAATGATTGCATATTTGTAATGGAGAGGTTCTATTACATCATCTACCGATAAGTGTAATCATCTTATTTAATTTAAATTAATTACAAATTTACATTCCTATTTCATAATCATTAAATATGTAATGGAGAGGATCAAAGTCCGCTATATAATAATATGATATAATTATAAAATAAAAAACAATGCTTATTGACAAATAAGTATATCATATATTGTGAATTGAAGGCTCAAAGAGAGAAGAATTGGTTAAAGCAATACAAGAAATGGAGCTATCCTCAAGAAAGCAGCAGTTGGTACTAGTATGCATACACTGGTGTAAAATCCCCAAAAAAATAAAAAATAAAAAATAGAGGTTAAGGAAGAAGAAATTACATGTTTTAAAGATGTTTGAGAATACACTGATACTTCTCAGAACATCAAGAAGGCAATAATGACTTCCTGCTACTATTTCTCATGCCTCGGAACTTGAGTGGACTCCATACTAACTGTTTCTTTTGTAGCGCAATAACCGTCGGATGCTTTGGCTTCCATGACCCTGCCTGTGTTGGAGGACTTCCTCTAAATTTACTGCTCCTTGGAGCAATTGGTGTTGCCATCACCGCTGATTCCTTCAACCGTGACAATGGAGTTTCCACTCTTGATGCACGCCATACCCTTTGTGGATCCCACACAAATGATTGTCTACTCACCATACGATCAGTCCTTAATCGAGCATTGGATGAGCTGTTAAGTGGAGTTCTCATAATATTTGAGTTTGACTCAGGATGGAGTGTTGCAATAGAGGCACGTCTTTTAGGCTGAAAGACCTTATTTGTTGCAACCGGAGGAGGCCTAACAGCATATGAACCCCGTCTTGCTTTCAGGAGTGTCTTTGTCTTGGCTGCTGTTGTCATCATTTTCGACACGTTTTCTTTGTTATTTGGGTAAATAGAAGTCGAAGTCTTGGTCATGCGAGGTGGGACAGGAGAACGTGGGGGCAAGAAATTGGAGATTCCTCGCAGAGGCAGCCTCAATTTTGAAGGAAACATTGGTGGCTTTTTCTCTGCTATAGTCGTCATATGTGGTTGATTTAGAGATGATAAGGCTGGAGACTGAGCAGAAACAGAAGCCAAAGCTCTAGTTTCCTGTTTTAGTCTGGTCTTCCTCTCCTCTGCTAATTGGCTCTCAAGTTCTCTATTCTGTTGAGCAATTTAATGAAGAACAGATGAGCTTGCAATTGCAAATGCCCAATGGGCAAGGGAGTGAACATGTTAGACATTTTTAAGTGAATTGATCAACATCTGAAAAGACCCCTTTATTTTGAGCCACAAAAACAAAAAACAAAAAGCAAAAACAACAAAAAAAAATCCGTTTCCTTTTGTTGTATTGTAGCATCATCTAGAAATAGCTCTAAAACAGAAACCAGCACTTCGTTTGTTTCGGGAGGCAGAAAGTATTTTCTGGAAAACATTTGTGACCTTGAAACTAATGTGCTAGTGTTATTAGTGGTGGTGGTGACAGGATGGTTGGGTGGTGATAGTGGCATTGGTAGAGGTGGTGATGGAGGCGGGGTGGCGGTGGTGACAATGTGGCAGTGTTGGTAAAAAAAAGTTTTTTCATCTTTTCAAAAGTGAATTTTTTTCCCCCTAGATGAGCTTTGTTTTCCATTAACCATCCGTTGACTTTCATTTTCCACCCACACAAACGGAAGGTAGATGAATTGTGAAACTCATTACCTTGTCTTGAAAATTTCTGCAGATGTGTTCTCTGGCAGCAAGTCGTAATTGCAATGACTGCAAACTATCTCTCAATTTCTTGATTTCCTTCTCATCATGCTTGGCCTTTTCTGCCTGTTTGTAAATAATGAAAATCATTAGCGGCAGCAACTTTTGACCTCAAAAGAATAGTAGTTATTGGGAGATAAGTTATTGATCTCTCTCTGCATACCAGTTGCTTATACTTGAAAAGCTCTGTGAGGTCTGCCTGTTTGCGAGCAGGTCCATGCTCAATTCCTCGGACACGACTAGCAAAATTAAGTGAGCAGAGGGTTTCTCCCAAATCTACAGCACTTGGGCTAATCTGGACAAACATCAGGGTCTTACAATCTCCTCCTGCATTTCATGTCTTTGTAAGTTTTACTCACTGGGAAAGGAAGGCAGTAGATAAAAATCACCGAGTTTCCATTGCAGAAATTTCCCGTTTGGATTGGGTGATTTGGAAAGAAAAGAGAAGAGAAATGAATTTCTCTTGGTTCATATCATCTATGTGGATTACTAAAGAGGGGACAAATTGAGTGAAACAAGAAGAAATGGAGAGAAACCAGTTTCTCTTAAGACTCTCTTTTTGAATCTCTCCAAATATGGAGAGATTGGGAGAGAAAAGAAACCGGCAGAGACAGATTTTCTTTTCTTTTTCTTATGTAGTTTAAACAAACAAGATAGAAGAGAAATCACTATCTTTTTTGTCATTCTCTCTCTCTATCTATCTCTCTCTCTCTCTCTCTCTCTCCTAACTAGAGTAATCATTTATTTTCTTTTCTTCTCTCCTAGTTCCCAAAGAGAGTCTAATTAGATTGGAATCCTATGCAATTAATTTCCCAATTACTCATGTATTCTCTCATCATGATGCGTATAGAATATTCCTCTCAAATAAATAAATAAATAAAAGTACTAGAAACAACAAAGAACCTCACCTAGAGAGCTCTGCAACATATGAGTGAGCTTGGAATTCCTGGTTTGACGATGAGGTTAGAACCAGTAAGTAGAGTGTAAAGGAAGTAAATGCACGAGAGAGAGAGAGACCTGTACGGAATATGCGCAGTCTTAGATGCAAGAGCAGAGATAACATCCCCAAGTGCTGAGAGGGATTTATTTATGAACTGCGATTCTTTCAACCTTTCACCTTCAACTTCAATCCTGCCCATGCGCTCACTTCCAGCCAAGTCCACCAGCCAAAGGTGGCTCTTTGTTTTTTGCCCATTTATTAAACTCTCACCATTAACAGTCACACGTAACAAGCTACAAAAGATGAATTTTTGGTCATTAGAACAATGAAAGAGATACAATATTGTATTTACTCTGACAAAAAGAACTCACGGAAACTGAGTAGGTATATACATGACAGGTAATAATGATTCATTTTCTGATTTGTTTCAATTGTTTCAAATTTTAATTTAATATAAGGTGGATTAGACCCAGACAATGAATTGAAGACATTTTAAAAGGAATTCACAGCTACCAGTGAGAACGGCTGCTAAATTCATTAGCATTAGTAGATCCGACAGATCTGGCTTGACTTCCAGACTTAAGCAGTTCCCACACTTCATCTGTACCATAAACATGAGCTTCAACAAGTCCTGGGACTTCTTGAGTTCCATCAGCAGCTTGTTTTATCTCCAACCTTCATTTCCATAAACAGAAAACAGTCAAATCTCTTCATGATGTAAATCTGGACTGATGACCCACTGGAATAAATGATAACTAAGATAAAAATAAAGAGTTAGAACGCATTTCTCTTCGTTAAAAGTATATACAGTAAAGCACTACAAAAGGATTATTTAACTGTGATATGCCTGTCTAGAGCTATGATGACATTAGAGAGGGCAAAGCTGCTGATTTAGACACAATACTAAAACATATTGAGGAGAGAATCATCACAGTAAACAAGCCATTCAGTTTGGCCACAACAGCTGGTATCAAAGAAACTCATTTTTTAGAAAGTAGTTCTATATTTGTTTTCACATCGGGAACAAAGGGAACATGAGAGGAAATTAACCCAACATGGAAATATTCAAAGGCACGACATTTTTGTATTGACGAAAAAACAAAAATAAAATTTATTGCTGTATTGATGGAAACAATAGATTGGAAGGATGAGGCACAATAATTGCTTTGAGAAAGAGCTTCCTCATAATCATCAATCTCAAAATTCGCACAATGAACCTTTGTTCAATAACTCTATTCTAAAACCATGGAGCTAAGTTAAAAGAGCAATTGGAAATTACTTACTATAAGTTCAATCTATCAAGTAAAACTTGGAAAGTAGGCAGTTTTTGTCCCAGTTAATACCGATGTTAGGTTATATGTTAGTAAAATATGGGATATAAAAAACTACTTGAACTGATGCTCTATCAATGATTTTTTATGCACCATCAACTGGGACTTGAAACAATATTCTTGCCAGAAAGAATGTCATGAGCATGTGTCCGAACGAAGTGAAATTATGTATTCAAACTAAAATCTGCTGTCTGCTAGCATTTCTTATTTTAAAAATAATATTTTTGTAAGCATCTAAAATTTTAAATAAATTATGATTTTCCTCTTGCCAATTAAGAGGCCTTTTTACGGTGCCAATAGTAGTGTTTCAGCTTTAAATTTTTGTATACATTAATCAATGCAATAAATCATTTACAGTTGCCTATGGTAACCAAAAATTGAGTTATTCTTAAGTTCTTTACAAGTTATAAATATGAATAACGATGACTGATAATGGAAGAAACCAATCTAATAAAGATTCAAAAGGCTGAAGCAGAAGAGAACTTACTTTTTACTAGACTGGTTGGAGTTTTCTATCAAGAGGTCTCTTATCTTCTCATTGTAAACCTCCAACATGCTTACAAACAGTTCATATCTCATAAAACCACTCCTTTCATTGGAAATCCTGAATAAATCCTCCAGTGTCCGGTAATTAACTCCCCTATTTTCAGGGGTTCCTTCCATAGTAAATGTTTTTCCAGTTCCAGTTTGTCCATAGGCAAATATACAAACATTGTATCCATCCAACACTGAAGTCACTATTGGTGAAGTTTGAATGAAAACAGCCTCTGCATAACAACCAAAGGATTAAAACCTTAAAATAGTACAAAATCTGTTAAATAAATTCATTCATTTGTAAGAAGCAAATTACCAATTGTGACTTTTCAAGTTACCTTGATTGTCATCAGGCCTAAATACATGATCAAACTTGAATTGCTTTCTCGAAGAATCAGAGCAAATAATCTGCAACTCATTTTCCTGAGATGAATCAAAATCAACTACAGAAGTAGACCCATTTGCAATTTCATCTTGGCTTAATGGTCTGCACCTGCAGAAGACCCTGATATTCCCTTTAAGCTCAATCACTTCATTATAGAGCCGCTTCCGTTCAGAGCACTCTTCAAGGTACTTCTTCTTCACAAGTTCACACTCTTCGTGGTACTTTTTCTTCAAATGTTCATGTTCAGTACCTAATGCGAAACAAAACAGACAATAAACTAATTAGGGTTGGGTTGAAGAAGTGGAAGAAGAAGAATAAAATTCATTTATTGGAAAAAGGAATATACTGAGGTCCTGAAGAGCACTGAAAACTTCAGAGCCAGGAAAAGAATTGGCAGTGATGCCGTTCACTTCGTTGCATAAAGCTGCATGCTCCTTCTTTAAATTCTGAAACAAAAAATAAAAATTAGAGACAACTACAAGAAATTTATAACCAAATATGTCATTGAAATCAATGTTTACGAGTATAAATTTCAAGATTTACCTGAACTTGGTTGCTCAATTGTTCAAATTTCTGCAAAATTGGAAGAGTCTGCACTTCATCAGAACACATTTCTTGGGCTCCATGTCCATCTGAAACATCGCTATCGTCCACCAAAGCTGTATTTTCCCCAACTTGCTCTGAAATAATATGAAAGATCCTTCAGATCAATCCCCAATATAAAAAGAAAAAAAGAAAAGAAAATCAAAATATGTAATGCTCCATTGGTTTCTGAGAAATTGTTGGAGAACAGAGAAACATTTCAATTCATATCTCAAAACAAAAAATAAAAAATATTTGGTATAAAGAAGAAAATTAATCCACCCAATTGAGCATAACTACCACTATTTGCTTTAAGTAGTCAAGAAAACATAAGATTCATAATTATCTTTTATTTTCTCTTCTTTTCTTTTCCAGTATTTCTCAGCAACCAAACAGAGCATATTAGAGGGAAAAAATAAAGATTTAAAAAAAAAAAAAAAGGTTTTGATCTCAATTGAAAGCGAGAAACATGAATTCACAATTTTCTTGAACATTAAAGACAAGAAATCAACGAAGAACGAACCTGTGTCGCAAATTGCAGTTTCTAGGGTTCGATCTGAAGACAAATCAAGAAACTTCAGGTCAATTCTCACTTCAATTTTCTGAAACAAAACAGAGTTGAAAGGGAATGAAGAAGAAACATACGAACCTGACTCACAAATCGAAGAAGGCTTGTTGTAATCGAAAACAATGTGATTGCAACTGTGTGAGAGGGTTTGGTCTGCAAGAAAACAACACACATATATTAATCAATTTACATGAAGAATAGACTAGCCAATATGTATGTATATGTGAGAGAAAGATTGAATACCATCCATGACTTTCGCTTAATTTGCTTCAGAAATCAATACAGTGAAGACTAGAAGGTTGAATTTAGAGAGAGAGAGAGAGAGAGAGAGTGATGAAGACGATGATGGACTTCAAAGAGAGAGAGAGAGAGAGATAGTACTGGTTGATCTTTGATACTTTTAACGGTCGGGAAAAGGTCGATCTTTCAAATGTTGTTTTTTGGTAAAATTACACTCACCTCCCCTTAACTTTGAGAAAAATACAATTAATCCTCCTACAATTTTGACATAATTATGGTAATTAGGCTAAGGCTAAGTTTGGAACCTTCCATATTAATTAAAATGTCAAAAGATCAAAGGTTAAAAAGTCAAATAATTATACCAAAAAATTAAAAGATTTCATTTCTTCTATACTTTTTATACGATTTCTTCATAAAATGTTAAAAAATTATTCTAAACATACTAATCTTCTCATATTTAATCAAAATTCAAAAAATTATTAAAATAACCTATTTATAAAAAACCCCAAATTATTCTTAACATACTAATCTTTTTCATCTCATATTTAACCAAAAATAAAAAACTTATTAAAATAATCTATTTATAAAACAACCCTAAGACAATTGAAACTAATGGAGGTGGTAAGTAAAAACTAAAATTAACAAAAATAAATATATATTTTAGTAAATGACATGACAATATTTTATTTAATAATTTATGACTAACAAAATACTGATAAAAAATGATCTAATAATTATATGAATTACAACTTAAAAAAAAACCAATGTAAATTGTGTATGGAGGTTGTTTCCAAAGGGCTTTTATTTAGGGGAGCGTTACGTACGACAGGTGAATGGAGCCCGGAAGGGAAAGGATCCAACAGATTTGTATTGCAATCACCGCTTAAGTTTCTTCTTTTAAAAACCTGGCTTTTAATTTGGATTTTATAGGGAGTAGAAAAAGGAAAAGAAAAAGAAAAAAAAAGTTGGACTTTATAACTATAGAACTAAAGTTTTAACATAAATAAATATATAAAGAGATTTTTTTTGATAAATCTTATTTAGAAATGTTTTAACCTAAGAAATTTATGAATAAATTTTTTAACTTATTTAGTCTTATGTATGTATAGTTTTATTCTATAAAGTCTTTTTTCTTAATTTACACTATTTTCTTGAACACTTATACCCTTATATTTAATTTTCATACCCTTATAAATATTTTTTTAATGGTTAGCAATTTTGTGATGTGAACATTCATATTTTAAAATTCACATTGGTAAGAATGTAAAATTGGCCCGTGGGTGACCCGAAACCGGCCCGCGAGTCGGGGCGAGCCCGGCCTGTTGACAATGTGAATATTCACATTGATATGTTAACATTCACATTAATAGGAGTGTAAAATTGGTCCGCGTCCCGTGGCGACGCGAAACCAGCGGACGGCCTGGGGCGGGCTCGGTCCGACCCGTTAACAATGTGAATATTCACATTGACATGTTAACATTCACATTGATAAGAATATAAAATTGGTCCGCGGCCCATGGGCGGCCAAAAGCCCACCCGCGGCCCGGAGCGGGCCTGACCCGGCCTGTTGACAATGTGAATATTCACATTGACATGTTAACATTCACATTGATAGGAGTGTAAAATTAGCCCGCCCCCCGTGGCTGCCCGAAACCCGCCTACGGCCCGTGAGCGGCCTGGGGCGGGCCCGACCCAGCCTGTTAACAATGTGAATACTCACATTGACATGTTAACATTCACATTGATAAGAATATAAAATTGGTCCGCGGCCCATGGGCGGCCAAAAGCCCACCCGCGGCCCGGAGCGGGCCTGACCCGGCCTGTTGACAATGTGAATATTCACATTGACATGTTAACATTCACATTACTGTATTACTGTTCTGCAGGCCTTCGGTAATCTCAGATTACTGGCCGGTTACGGTGCTAGACCCATAGGGCCGGGTTTGGGTCGTGACACGAAGCCTGACCGCAGCCCGAGGCGGGCTTGGCCCGACCCATGACATTGTGAATATTCACATTGATATGTTAACATTAATATTGATAGGAGTGTAAAATTTGCCCGCTGCTCGAAGCTTGCCCGCGGTCCGGGGTAGGCCCGGCCCAGCCCGTTGACAATGTGAATATTCACATTGACATGTTAACATGCACATTGATAGGAATGTAGAATTGGCATGCGGCCCGTGGGCTGCCCGAAGCCTGCCCACGGCAAGCTCGTTTGGGTCCTAGCCCGAGCCGGTGGGTCGAGCGGATGGGAGGCCTAGCTTCAGGCTTGGGCGGGCCTAGCCATTTTTTTTAAATTCTTTTTAATTTTTTCTATCAAAATTTTATTATTTTCCACAAAAAAAAACACTAGGCCTCGGTGCGGGTCCGGCTTCAAAGTGATGGCCAAGGCCCAAGCCTAAGGTCTCGGACTAGGCTCGAGCCCAGGCCCAAACGAGCCTTTCTTGGGCTGTGGGCGGGTTTCGGACAGCCTACGTTCTTTTTGACTATTCCATTAAGTCTTATTTGAGGTAAGAAGACCAAAATACTATTTTCATCTACTTATATTCTATTTAATTTACATTATTTTCTTATGTTTCAATAAGTCCTATGGGAGACATAATTACCAAAATACTCATAATGTGAATATTCACATCGTCAATGTGAATGTTCATATCATCAATGCGTAGAGGCTCGGGCCGGCCCATATCGAGCCTCGTGGGTGTCCGAAAAAATCCGAGCCGACCCGGCCCGGCCTATGGGCCAAAAAATTAGGCCCAAGCCCTAGTCTTGGCACAAGGGTATTTGGGTTTTGGACAGGCCGATGGATCCAACCTCGGGTCGGGCCGATGGACCTAAGCTTAGCCTCGAGCTTAGGTCGGGCTTGGACGGGCCTAGCCATTTTTTTTAATTTTTTCTACCAAAATTTTATTATTTTTCACAAAAAAAGACATTGCGCCTCGGGCGGGCTGGGCCTCGGACCGAGCCTTGAATGGGCCTTAAGCGGATTGATGGGCCTGGCCGAGCTTCAAAGTGATGGCCTAGGCCCTAGCCTAGGATCTCGGACATGCTCGGGCCCAGACCCAAACGAGCCTGCCCCGGGCCATGGGCGGGCTTCGGGCAGCCCACGAGTTGCAGGCCAATTCTACATTCCTATCAATGTGCATGTTAACATGTCAATGTGAATATTCACATTGTCAACGGGCCGGGCCAGGCCTACCTCGGGCTGCGGGCAAGCTTCGGCGGGCGGACAAATTTTACACTCCTATCAATGTTAATATTAACATGTCAATGTGCATATTCACATTGTCACGGGTCGAGCTAAGCCCGCCTCCGACTGCGGTCGGGCTTCGGACCGCCCACGGGCTGCGGGCCAATTTTACACTCTTATCAATGTAAATGTTAACATGTCAATGTGAATATTCACATTGTCAACGGGCCGGGTCGGACTCGCCCTGGGTCGCTTGCCAATTTTATACTCTTATCAATGTGAATGTTAACATGTCAATGTAAATATTCACATTGTCAACAGGCCGGGCCAGGCCCGCCTCGGGCTGTCCACGGGCCGTGGGCGGGTTTCGGGCAACCACGAGGCGCGGGCTAATTTTACACTCCTATCAATATGAATGTTAACATGTCAATGTGAATATTCACATTGTCAACGGGCCGGGATGGGCTCGCCCCGAGCCGCGGACAGGCTTTTGGCCGCGCATGGGCCACGATCCAATTTTATACTCTTATCAATGTGAATGCTAACATGTCAATGTGAATATTCACATTGTTAACGGGCCGGACCGGGCTCGCCCCGGGCTGTCCATGGACCGCGAGCGAGTTTCACACCGCCACGGGACGCGGGCCAATTGTACACTCCTATTAGTGTGAATGTTAACATGTCAATGTGAATATTCACATTGTCAACGGGCCGGGCTGGGCTCGCCCCGAGCCGCGGCCAGGCTTTTGGCCGCCCATGGGCCACGATCCAATTTTATACTCTTATCAATGTGAATGTTAACATGTCAATGTGAATATTCACATTGTTAACGGGCCGGACCGGGCTCGCCCCGGGCTGTCCATGGACCGCGAGCGGGTTTCACACCGCCACGGGACGCGGGCCAATTGTACACTCCTATTAGTGTGAATGTTAACATGTCAATGTGAATATTCATATTGTCAACGGGCCCAACCCGCCCCAGCTCGACTTGAATTTTTCCGGACACCCACGAAGATCGACATGAGCCGGACCCCTACACATTGACGATATGAACATTCACATTAAGACACTATGAACATTCACATTAGGGGTATTTTGATAATTATATCACCCATAGGACTTATTGAAACATAAAAAAATAATGTGAACTAAATAGAACATAAATAGATGAAAAAGGTATTTTGGTCTTCTTATCTCAAATAGGACCTAATGAAATAGTCAAAAAGAATATGAGTTAGATGAAATAAAACTCTTAGAAAGTAAATTTATCAAAAAAAACTCCCATATATAAATGTACATCAAGCTAAATTTTTTTTTTTTTAATTTTCTACTTTTATTATTCATCTAATCAAATAAAACCTTGTGTAAAACTTTTTAAAAAATAACCGACAAAAAACCAATCGCAAACGCCCATGGATGTCACATATTGACAAGGGAATCCCCTTATAAACAGTTACAGCTTACCCCTAATTTTTCTAAATAAGTTTAATTCAACATAATTAATTCTTTAAATGTAAAACTGTATACAATTATGATTTGAAAATAAATAAATAAATAAATATAATTCCTTGTTCTATGTACAAACAACTTGACACAGATCAAACACTCCATAGAATCTAAAGTTTGACAAGCGGGCGTGTGTTGTTCCAGAGCCACTGGCGCGCAGAACCATCCACCAACGGTGAAACCTGCATGAAGACCTCAGATAAGTAACTGCAATTTTTAGGATCCTAAAGAGAGAAATTTCACTGCTTGCTAAAACATGTGAAAATATAAAACTTGATAGTATTATCAAATTTATTATGCCTTTCATAAATACATGTAGAATACGCGAATCAAAATCCTTCCCCAAAACATGGTTAATCTGCTAGTGCAAACCATTCGTAGGCAACCAGACCAACACCAGTCTATGAAGACCGAGGACAAATCTGCAACTGTCAAAAGTGACATCTGGATTTCGGACTAGAACACAATTTGAAGTGACCTATGTGTAGATAAACCTGCTAGAGCGGGCCAAACTAGAGAGGTGACTCAAACCCACATCACTGAGGACACTAATAGCAAGTCTGACCAAGAATATGCGCACAGATGCTTTCGTTAAATTCAGATGTGCAAGAATTCTTAAATGCCAAGGGGTCGTGAGGAGAGCAAGTCCCTTGAATGATTAATTCCCCAAAGGGTAGTCATACACAATGCCATTGATTGCACAGACAATCAAAAAAAAGTTTCTAGATGTACGTTTACCTTCTCCCAAACTTGTGAATGGTAATTATTGAGCCAATCAATCTCCGTAACAGAGAGCAAAGATAAGTCAACCAACTTCGCCTGCACAGTGACACCCACAGAGACATTCATAGAAAATAAACATATAATGCGAACGTATTACTATGAAAAATAAGCTCTAAATTGATCACAAGACACAAGGGAAAGATCAAACATTCAAAATATATAACTTCATGCATAAGATACCATACCTGTATGGGAACAAATGTGAGCTTTTTAAACCCCATATATCCTATTCCTCCAAAACGATTTGGTGTGTCAATTTCTTCCACATAAAGGAGATTCTGGATGAGACAAATAGCTCAAGTGAAAAATTTAAAATATGATAAAAAAAAAGAACAAATAGAAAGATAGAAATCACATTTTAAAGATAGCACTACTGCAGAAACACAAACACAAAACAAGTAACAAAAATCCTATGAAGCACGGGTGCGGGTACAGATATGGGTACGGGTACGCCGATACAGTAAATTCCTAAAAAAATAGGATACGAGTACAAGTACGGATACGTCAATTTTTTATTTATTAAAATTTCTAACTAAACATCCAACATATAAATCAGAGTTCCAATATCAAAACTAAAAAGAGGAGAACTTGTCTAAAAAGTTATATAATTCTTTATTTTTCTTTTTTGATTGTCTAAAACAGGATGCAAAAGAACGCAAAACCATGACTCATAGGTAAATGATGTCAGAAATAAATTACTTGATATTTTCAAATTGAAAGAAGAATAATAAATGCTATAATAAATTCTAACAGTTGCAAAAAAAAAATCACCTCGCTATACCAGTGCCATACGTTTGCGGTGAGCAGATATTCCAATCAGTCCAAACCTACCAAACCAAAAACCGAACCGATCCGTCCCAATTTGGACGGGATGCGTGATGGCGAGCGGACGGTTGCAGATTAATTTCTTCCAATCCGCCTAATTTTGGACGGATGGCAGATTTGAGGTTCCTTTGGCCGCAACCGAACCGTCAAACCGCAAGCACTCCTAGTAATTTATAAGACTTTGTGTTTTTAATTTGTTTAAATATTCTATTTGTATTTTCAATTGAAAATGAATTTAGATATGCTGTTATGTTTTCAATTTGGAAATCCTTTTATCAAATGGCAAAGATTTATTTGGTATTTTTGTGTGAAAAATATAATACTTAATTTTGTCATTTAAAAAAAAAAATCAAATTAAATAGTTTTTTAATAAAAAAAAGTAATGAAATGGTTTTGATAATGCATGATTTTCTTATATGTATTTATTATTGGTATTTAACAATTTACTTGATAATCTTTTAGTTACATTACATTGAGTTGGATTGTTATAAAAAATAAAAAAAATGTTGACAAGTTGCATTATGTTCAAAATTCGTAAAAGTTTAAACCGTCAAACCAATTCGCATCTATCCGCCAATCCGTCAATTCGGCGGACGGATGCGGATTGATTTTTTTCAATCTGCCCATCCGGCGAACGGATAGTGAATTAGAGGTTTCCTAGCCGCAACCGAACTGCAAACATCCTTAGTACCCATGCCGTACCCAAATGTATTTGCCATACCCGACATGTATTCGGCGTACCCAGTACGCATACTGCCATTCCGGTACGCCGTACCCGCACTCGGTAAATACCTGGTACTTGTAAAACCAAACCAAACTAAACCAAGCCTTAAATCCCATCAAATAAGGTCGGTTACATGAATCATTCTTTTCCACGCGACCAATCAAAGACAATTTCGTTAGTCAAATTAAGTAGATCCATATCTCTATTTACAAAACTAACCAACGTTAAGCTAGGCCTACCCCGTCCCCTAACACTCTCATCTACCGTTACAGCATTGCATCTCTTCACTACTGTCTCTGTTGGTCTCCGTTGAATGTGACCAAACCATCTCAATCGATTCTCTTTCAACTTATCTTCTATCGGTGCTACTCCTACCCATTCCCGAATACACTCATTCCTAATTCTGTCTTGTGTAGTCTTGCCATACATCCACCTCAACATCCTCATCTCAACCACACTTATCTTATCTACATGTTTTTTCTTGATAGCCTAACACTTCGTCCTATACAACATCGCTAGTCTAATAGCCGTTCTATAGAACTTACCTTTTAGTCTAGCGGGTATTCGTTTATCGCACAGTACTCCAGGCGCACTTCTCCACTTACACCATCTCACCTTAATCCTATGGGCCACATCCGTATCAATCTCCCCCACTGTTGTGATAATTAACCCTAAATAACGAAAATGTTCACTCTTAAACAGTTCTTGATTCTCAATCTTCACTTCTCCTCTGCTTTCATTGTTACTGTTACTGTTACTAAATTTATACTCTATGTACTCTGTCTTAGTTTTGCTTATTCAGAATCCTTTAGATTCAAAAGTTTTTCTCAAAATCTCCAACTTTGTGTTAACTCCTTCTCTAGTCTCATCCACTAACACAATATCGTCTGCAAAAAGCGTACACCATGGCACGCCATCTTGAATATTTCTCGTCAACTCATCCATAACTAAAGCAAAAAGACAAGGACTTACGGTAGTTCCTTGGTGTAACCCTACAATGATAGGAAATTCATTTGTCACTCCAGCCGACGATCTAATAGTGGTCACCACCCCTTCATACATGTCCCTAATCACATCAATATAACCTTTTGTCACCTCTTTCTTCTCTAACACCCACCATATTATATCCCCGGACACTTTATCATATGCTTTCTTAAAGTCGATAAATACCATCTGAATGTCTCTTTTCTTTTCTTTTCTCTATACTTTTCTATTACTCTCCTCAAAAGATAAATCGCCTCCATCATTTACCTGCCAGACATAAATCCAAATTGATTCTCTGACACCTCTGTTATATCTCGCAATCAGCGTTCCATCACCCTCTCTCACTTTTATTATATGACACATTAACTTGATTCCTCTATAGTTGTTGCAATTCTGAACATCTTCTTTATTCTTATAGATTAGCACTAAAATACTCTTTCTTCACTCATCTGGCATGTTCCTAGTCAACAAAATTTTACTAAACAACCTAGTCAACCAAGCAACTCCCTTTTTTCATTTACCTGCCAGACATAAATCCAAATTGATTCTCTGACACCTCTGTTATATCTCGCAATCAGCGTTCCATCACCCTCTCTCACTTTCATTATATGACACATTAACTTGATTCCTCTATAGTTGTTGCAATTCTGAACATCTTTATTCTTATAGATTGGCACTAAAATACTCTTTCTTCACTCATCTGGCATGTTCCTAGTCAACAAAATTTTGCTAAACAACCTAGTCAACCAAGCAACCCCCTTTTTACCCAAACATTTCCAAGCTTCAATTGGGATATCATCGAGTCCTATAGCCTTATTTGATTTTATCTTCTTAAGTGCAATCTCCACTTCAAAGTTCCTAATCCTGCGATAGAACCTATAGTCTTGGTTTATCGTATTACTGGCTATTTCTTCCCCTATTGTCGTACTTCCACGTTCCTCATTTAATAGTTTCTCAAAATAGTTCTTCCATCTTTCCTTAATCTCTTCATCCTTCACCAATACCTTAGAATCCTCACTCTTAATGCACTTCACTTGATTAAAATCTCTTATTTTCCTCTCCCGTATCTTAGCAAGTTTGTATACCCTCTTCTCTCCCTCCTTACTATCTAGCCTAGTGTATATGTCATCATAAGCTTTCAACTTAGCCTCTCTCACTACTTTTTTGACCTCCTTATTAACCAATCTATAGCTCTTAAGGTTTTCCTCAGTTCTATCATTATGTCACTTTTTAAAGCACTCTTTTTTTGCCTTAACTACTACTTGAACCTCTTCCCTCTACCACCAAGTTTCCCAAGAGCTAGGTCTCATCCCTTTCGACTCTCCAAGCACTTCTCTTGAGATTCTCCTCATACAATTAGCCATCGAGTTCTATATAGTGTTAGTATCATCTTCCAAGTCCCAAGTACCTTCATTATCCATTATATTTTTAAATATTTCTATTTTATCCCCTTTTAAGTCACACCATCTCGTCCTACGACGTCCACCATCCTTCTTAGCTTGGTATTGCCCTCTAAAACATAAATCTAGTACAAGTACCTGGTACATGTAGGGCATCATTATTGGAGTATTCGTGCTTCATAGCAGAAATCAAGTATCAATAAACCATAATGGTCACACAGAAAAACAGAAGAAGGTGCCTCTAAGAAAGTGGCATGTCAAGACTCATGAGACACTTCTTGACGCTTGTCGAACACACGTCCAAATATGCCCCATTATTTTTAAATTTTTTGATCCGGACACATTCCAGACACTTGGGGGAACACTTGAGAAATAACTTGTGATCTAATACTAAAAGATGATGTAGATATGTACCTATCAAAAACAATGTCGACTTTAGGAATTAATGTTATGTTGCATTTTAAAATTATTTTAAAATAAATATTCATATATATAAGACATGATAATTATGTATACTTATATATGATAGATAATAAGGAGTTGTTTGGGGTGTCCTAAATAAGTGCACGTTTTGTCTTTTTTGACTAAAAAATTGAGGAAGAAAATATGGATGTTTGGGTTAATTTTTTGACTTTTTATGGAAAAATGTGTAATAAAAAATTGTAAAAATTGATTTGTAGGGAAAAATTAAGATTAGGAGTTGTGCAGCCGTAATTGTTGTATTTTGATGAATAGTGTTAACTTTTTGAGTAACTTTTTAGCTTTTTGGCTTTTTTTACAATATGCCAAACCTGACCTAAATATACAAAAATATAAAATTTGAGCCTGTCCCCCACAAAATTATAATATGATTGGGATCTCTTGTTTGTAAACCAGCGGCCATTAATGCCATAACGAAACTGCATATATTGCATATTATCCAATGAATCTAATGAACTTCCATTTCAGGAATTAAAAAGAAGCTCACTTTAAACTGTTTCTCAAATACTTGCCAATGGTTTTCACTTGAAAGATGGATTCCGACAATCAAATCAGCATAAGTATTAGAGCATGCTTGTTAAGGGTTCTAACATTAAACAATGACCCTGTTTCGCAGCTTACATTGTATAGGATAAATATTTGATACAATCTAACATGACTCTATAATCTCTATCTGTAAAAAAAATTGCAAAGTTGTTGGCCCTTAGAAAGGTAGATAATTTCAAGCCTAAACTAGAATCCATTATATATCTTGCATTCAACAGAACATCACATGGATATTAATTACAACTGAAGTGCAATTTTGAGATGCATGTAATTATAGTCAAATAGATACAGTACCTCAATCCGAATGCCAAAAGCATGGTCTTCATAATAGCCAGGTTCATTGCTTACCACCATGCCTTTCTGCAAGGCGGTCATATTTCCAAATCGATAGCTTATACTTTGAGGGCCTTCATGAACATTCAGTGCCGCTCCTACACCATGTCCAGTCCCTAATATATGGAAGGAAAGTAAGTAGTAAATGAGCACAATCATAAAATTATATCTCGTATGCATTACAGGGAAATATTTTCCCACTAGGTAGCAAGAGGAACAGAAAGGGAGGCCACATACCATGTCGGTAATCAAGTCCAATCTTCCAAAGAAAAGAACGGGCAAAAGCATCCAATACAAAACCAGGGGTATTTTCAGGAAATACCGCTTGATCAAGAGCTATATGACCCTGTAATTAGACATACCAGAAACTACATAATCAGTCATCCTGCACAATCGAATCGAACATTGCAACAAAGCTTGGTCATTGTCAACCGGAATACACCACACAGTATATAGCAAGAAGGCACATTAAAGGACACCTAAGATAACTGTATATATAGTGGCTGACCTTTACTAGCTGCCAACTGGAGATCACTGCCTGATAGGGACAACTTTCCAGCATCAAAATGCCAATAACAAACCCCAAATGTTTGAATAGGATTGTCGACTTCATTTCATTAAATGACAAGCGTTCATGAATTCATGAGAAACTTTTAATATGGCTTGTCTGTGATGTTTGTTAAATTGTTTTAAATTTCAAAACCAAAAGCACAGCAGAAGTTACTCATTCCAACACCAAAATATCCCAGTATGCGGACACCACAACTCAACTCAACAAGCCTCCTATTTGGTTCTTTTTGGAGCCCTTACTACCATTGTGGATTCTGCTTACAATTACAAAACTCAATTCTATCATAACCACTCCCCACCTTTTTATATATGATACTGAGGCAGCCTTTTTGAAATTCATTATTTAGTGTTTAGTCCCAACATTTTACATTCTCGATTATGTACCACCCATTTTTTTTAAGGTCGGCGATTTAAAAATTTGATGGATTTGTTCTCTCAAAGGTTCAGCACTCATTTCTCTTCGGAAAAGAGTTTGATAGCTTTTTGATAATAATAAAGTCAAGAAACACAAATAACATAGGAATAGGAATAGGTCCTTCTTTACCCTTTCAACTTGGATTACAACATCTTCAGGGCGGTATTATCGTAAAATATGAATAAAATTGAATACGAGTGATGAGTTGAGCTTATATTTAGGCAAAAGAAATGAGGTTAAGTGTTTGCCTTTCCAACATAGGTTGCAAAATAGTAAGGATTAATATGTCGGATGATTTAATAGTGATTCCAAAGATCAGACAAAATTTTGGAAGATAGTCCACCATAGAGTCCAAGCTATTCAAATCTTGTCCCTCAACAACCAATTCTTCAATTCAAATCAGACAACTAAAAACCTTCCTTTTGAGCGGTAACTGCAATCCCCTTCTGGCATGCCTCCCCCCGCCAGCCAAAAAAATGCCATCATGGAGCAAGAGGGAGAGAGAGAGAGAGAGAGAGTGGCATAATGTCTTGAAGATGGTCTAGAGACAATCTCTCAGAAAACGAATATCTCTCTCAGAAAATGAAGAGTTTTTTCAGAAGTTTTTTCACAAAGTTTTTTTGTCTTCGCTTATGTCTCAAGCACAGCCTCCGCCTCAGTTTATAAAGACCCTGACGAAGAGGCAGACACGCGCATCATGCGCCGCTCGGCGCTCGACGACAACATGGGCGCGCCTTTTGATGGCCCGTCTTTTGATGGCACGCCTTTTGATGGCACACCTTTTTATGGATTGTGCACGCCTTTTGATGGCACGCCTTTTTGAAAGATTGGGCACACTTTTTGAGGGTGCGACTTTTTAGGGGTCCGACAAGACTCTGTAAACTGTCCCGACATTGATTCCGGTTAGCTCCTTTATGGGTCCGACAAGACTCTGTAAACTGTCCCGACATTGATTCCGGTTAGCTCCTTCAAGGGTCCGGCAAGACTCCGTAAACTGTCACAACAACTATCACAATATTGTCTGCTACAACGGTCCGACATAACCCCATAAACTGTCTTCTACATCGGTCTGACACAACCATCCAGTGTCCTCAACAACGTTATGACACCACCATACAGTGTCTTCACCATCGGTCTGACACGACCATACAATGTCTCCTATTCTCTTTTCTTTTATGTATTCGTCTATTTTCTTGTTTTGTTACTCTCTTCAAACTCAAGTTGGCTAGTTCCTATCCCCCTTGAGTTTGCGGGGGGCTGTTAAAACCTATCACCTACTTCACCCACTTAAACCTACTCCACTAAACCTAACCCACTACACCACTACCACCTCACCTACTCCACTAAACCTAACCCACTACACCACTACCACCTCCACTTCACCTACTCCTTACCTACTACACACTCACCCTCTTCTATATATAGGAATCATGAATCATTGTAATAAATATCAACATATCAATCAATAATACATACAATTTATTTTCTCTCTATCAATTTATTTTACATGAATTCATGAGAAACTTTTAATATGGCTTGTCTGTGATGTTTGTTAAATTGTTTTAAATTTCAAAACCAAAAGCACAGCAGAAGTTACTCATTCCAACACCAAAATATCCCAGTATGCGGACACCACAACTCAACTCAACAAGCCTCCTATTTGGTTCTTTTTGGAGCCCTTACTACCATTGTGGATTCTGCTTACAATTACAAAACTCAATTCTATCATAACCACTCCCCACCTTTTTATATATGATACTGAGGCAGCCTTTTTGAAATTCATTATTTAGTGTTTAGTCCCAACATTTTACATTCTCGATTATGTACCACCCATTTTTTTTAAGGTCGGCGATTTAAAAATTTGATGGATTTGTTCTCTCAAAGGTTCAGCACTCATTTCTCTTCGGAAAAGAGTTTGATAGCTTTTTGATAATAATAAAGTCAAGAAACACAAATAACATAGGAATAGGAATAGGTCCTTCTTTACCCTTTCAACTTGGATTACAACATCTTCAGGGCGGTATTATCGTAAAATATGAATAAAATTGAATACGAGTGATGAGTTGAGCTTATATTTAGGCAAAAGAAATGCGGTTAAGTGTTTGCCTTTCCAACATAGGTTGCAAAATAGTAAGGATTAATATGTCGGATGATTTAATAGTGATTCCAAAGATCAGACAAAATTTTGGAAGATAGTCCACCATAGAGTCCAAGCTATTCAAATCTTGTCCCTCAACAACCAATTCTTCAATTCAAATCAGACAACTAAAATCCTTCCTTTTGAGCGGTAACTGCAATCCCCTTCTGGCATGCCTCCCCCCGCCAGCCAAAAAAATGCCATCATGGAGCAAGAGGGGGAGAGAGAGAGAGAGTGGCATAATGTCTTGAAGATGGTCCAATGGTTCTAGGCAGCAGCCCCATAAACAATCCACTATCACCCATTCTTTCATGTATTTTTTAATCTAACTCGTTTAGTTCTTTACTAGCCAAGTTTACGACAGTGCTTTTTTTTTTTTTTTTGAGGGAATCAAATTTTAAAATCATTTACTATGAGAAACCATAACATCTCTTTCCTAAATTGAATATATTGTGTGTGCACATATTCAGACAACACAGATCAAAAAAGTTGACACCTGTAGAACTCGAGTAAAACATTCTTTTTGCCGTGCAGAAGGTTCTCCAAAATGCACTGTCCTGGTTACATCAGTTGTTCCGTCGATATATTGAGCTCCACTGTCTAATAGAAAGAGTTTCTTTACATCCACCACACTACAACTCTCTGGTTCCGGTTTGTAATGTATAATAGCACTATTAGCACCAGAACCTGTAGAAGCATTTAAAAATAGTCAGCAAAGTTTTTTTAAAAAAAATTGCAATATTTGTATAGCCATACACTGATTAAACTTTTATTTACTAGATATTTTGCATCACTTATCTCTCTATATGTAAGTACCTACAGAAACTGAACTGAAGCTTGTGATATGATGTGCAAGCAATTCCTTAAGAAAATTTACTCAACTCCAATATTTTTGAACTGGTAAGTATTTTCAAAAAGAGAGCCAATTAATAATCTTTAGGCATAGGCTCTTTCTACAGATTTAGAATGTAAATAACACAATTATAAAATTTTTTACGGATAACTTTAGTGTAAATATTTTCAGTCAAAAGTTGTAGCTAGTGTATTTAGCATGCTTTGAAATTACAAGCAACATAGAACAGGATTTTTTTATTTTTTTTATGTTTATAAACGACAGATAGAAGAGAGTAAGAAGCTTCAATTTTCCAAAACTTAATTTTGCTAATTCCCAAAAAAAATTGTAGCTGGCATATTTAGCATGCTTTTCTTCACTAGCCATTCTGTCTCGTTCCCTCTTGCACATGCAAGCTAGGAGATCAATAGCATCTCATCTTAGCCGAATATGAGACTTGCTAGGAAGCAAAAGTAGCTAGTCATGATTGACCATTATCTGACATGCCTAACAAAAAATTCTATCAAAGCTTGTATCAAAGAGAACTAGTAAGAGAGGAACCAATAATATTTAGGAAGATTAAATGTAAATAGAGAAGTTAAAATACCACTTATTGTATCGAAGCTTGTATCAATGAAACCAGCTTTCTTTGAACGGAATTCAAGAAGTTTGTCTGCAACTTGTACCTCTGTTAATACTACATCCTTCTGGATTTCCTCCTCCAGCCAAGCCCAAAATTGAGCTAGTGCAGCAGCGTCCCTGTACACAGTGACAGAGACAGAAAATTAATTCAAGGGTGTACATAGAACCCATGAACAACCAATATGCAACATGCAAGTTGCAAAAAAGAGAATGGTAGCGAGCATATATTACTAATATTAAACCAGTAGTCATTTGGAACATTTAAATTTCATGCATTGTTGGCTATGACCATGGTTATCAGAATCCTTTATCCAGATTGTAAAACCTTACATGTCTACGATCCCAGTTTGCCCAAACAATCTAGATTGCACTAGGATCTTAAGTTTTGCAAAATTTTAGAGTGGCTACAATCCTAGTCATAAAATTGTGTAGAAACACAATACGATCCTAATTCTACAAAAAAAATTTCTTCTTATTGCTTATATATGTATGTGTATATATATCTATACATATATAAGAACTCGCCCTACTGCTTCCCCCAATCATCAATGTCATGAGACCTGTGAAGTCACATCAACCCTTCCGACTCTCTTACTCCCTTACCAAAAGACTTAGAGACCTCTAAAAATGTCCAAAAGGCCAATGAACTTCCATACATGGAAGTCACCACCCTCCTCCAAATTTTGTCACTCTCGCAAAAAAAATTCTCCAAAGCAACATGGCCAAGAGTACTTGGTTGAACATCTAACCTCCAAATCCCCAAAGCACCCTCTCTAATGGGAATGCAAACAATCTCCAATCCACCAAATGATATTTGAACTCTGCCACTAAGTAACAAATAATGAACAACGACATAAAGTAAGCCAGAAGAAGCAATTAGCACTCTTTTACAAGAAAAAGTTTCATGGATGTTCCTTTTAGGGCACAAATGCTGAGAAAAAAGGCATTCTGAGCAAACAGTGATTACACCACATAGAAGCCAATAATATCCACAAATTCCCATAAAAATGAAGACAAATTGGTGAACAAACAGTAATGCATTAACTGATTTTTCAAAGCATGAATTTGTTTTTAAATATCCAATACAGTTTTTGTGCACACAAAAATATTGCCTAGAAGTTGAAAACAATTAGATGATTACCAATACATCAAACAAGTTGTCAGCGTGAAAATCAGATTCCAAGTGAAGTTTCCATTTACCTTAAATGAGAATTTCGCATCCCTTCTAATTCGGCATGATTTTTTACTGCCTTTGCCATAGAGATAGGGGAAGTCCTATGAATTCCAGCAGGTCCCCCAGATTGATCATTGGAGCCATCATACGATATAGTATTATTTTTTCTTTTATTCCCAATGCTTCCATAATATCTTTCACAAGCAGACTTATAGGTATTGACAATAGCAGCATTAACAGATGATGTATCCAACCAAAGGTGTGCCCCTTGCATTGCCAAACTGAAAAGGAAAATTATGTATTAGCAATGGCTATGTACATGTTCTGCCCCATTACAGCTGTCAGTGAAGCCTCTATGCAACAAGGATAATCTGATTTTGTAACATTTTGCTGCTTTAGATTAGACAAATCTTGTGTCTGCATATCATGGGCACTAAAATCAAGTTGGAATGATTTTGCTCTTATAACAGCTGTGTCCGAGTCAGATACATCGAATATATGTTGCAAATTCACAAGCAGAGACTAGAAATTTGGCAACAATAGAAACCACAGAGAACTTTCTACTCATATACATAAATGTTTTGTTCTCATGAGGGCACATGACAAGATAGTACGCATTGTGTCCATTAGATGCACACAAAGAAAAATAGCTTTAAGCTCCCAAGATCACCTTTTTATCTCAGAAAGAATCGATTCGTATGGTCTCAAATCTACCGCTGCATTCTTCAAGTAACCCATCACTTCTGGGGTGACTTTAGAATTATCAATAAATAGTTTTGCTCCATCCATCTCCACAATTAAGTATGCATACATCACAGGTGAATGTGGGACATCACTCCCTCTCTGCAGACAAATTAAAGCATTATTTGAACATTAGAAAGACAAAATCTACAACCATAAAGCAGAAAATGACTAAAACTCAGGAATTTCACAGTGAACAAGACAAACAATTTAAGAAAAAACCATAAAAGCTTACTCAATCTTATTAGATCAGGCTTAAAAATGTTAATACTCCCTCCGTCCCAAAATAATGGTCCCTTTTGGGGAATCCAACTTTTTTTAGTAGTACAATTATTGCATTTGAAAAAAGTTGATTTTCCAAAATTATCCTTTTGATAGTACATTTTTTGGGAATATCAATGCATAATTGTACTTTTTATGTTGTTTATTAATTTAAAAGAAGGGTAAAATAGGAAATTTATATTATTTTTGTACTTGATTTTTGAAGAGGGACTAATATTTTTGGACAATGAAAAATGGAATAAGGGACTAATATTTTGGGACGGAGGGAGTAAGAAAGATTACCAAGTTCAGCAGCCATGCAATTTCATCAAGCATGGAGATAACAATTGCAGATGAACCAGCACCTTTAAGTTCAGATCTTAGGGAGGATAATTTTGAAGCCACATCAACACCAGCATATTTAAGATCATGTACTCTTACTGGTTTGCTAGGAGGTTTTGGCCTTGAATCTTTCCATATTTCATCCACAAGATTTATGTCATACAAGTACACCAACTCGTGATTTTTCGTAGAAATAGCCTCTTTCAATTCCTCTGCAGCATCAGAAGAAAAAAGAAACTGTTCCCTTCTCAGAAACAAAAAAATAGGCGGCATCAGACGCAAGCACGGGGAATGCCAGGGGAAGTGTAATCGGTAGACAGATATGCAAAAGAAAAGGTAAATGCAGAGAAAGAAAAGGATAAACAAATTAACCATGCAGGGCACTGAAAATGTAATAATAACAAATTAACTTATGCAGGACAGTGAAAGCGACTAGCATGCAGGACTAGAAGTTCAGCACTGGTCCATGAAAATAACAACTTATGCTTCAAACTGTATTTAAGAAACCATAATCCTCTGATCCTCCAAGATGTCGAACCATACTATCAAACAAGTCCTTTAAAATGTCAAACCATACTTTCAGTTACAGACTTTGACCATTGCTGAAAATTTAAGCACGATTCAAATCCTTGTGTATGATACTTTTCTTTGTGTTATAACACTAATGAGTTAATAATCTGATGAACATATCATTAGAAGTACAGTATTACTCACAGGATCAATGCCAATTCTGCAACCAGGAGCCAAAATATCATTGAGCCATTCACTAGTGCTAGGAACTCCCAAATTACCAGCCCGCATGAGAATCCAACTAGAGCTTAACTGCTTCTCAGCCTAATCATAAAGTTTATAGAAAATTATCAACACAACAGAATAGACTCAAGCTAGTTTACATCAGAATTACAACACCTTTGCCAAATAAATCACCCGTGTTCTCCTTTCAAACCTGAAGAAAATATCGTCCATCTGTCCAAAGAGCTGCTTTATCCTTTGTGACAACAGCAGTGCCAGCACTACCAGTAAATCCTGATATATAGGCTCTCCTGGTGTAACATTCAGCAATGAACTCACTCTGAAATCCAAAAGAAATGGAAATTAAAATTAATGATAGGTACCGTTGACTTGGAAGTTGTGTGCTTACTAGCTTAATACAAAGAATATGAAATTAAACCTATGAATTCAAACTCATTTCCAGTATATCAATTTACATAAATACACACGTTCACAACAACATATATAAATCTATCACTAGAATTGATATTAAACCTAGTAATTCATACACCAAGGCCATGATTTCATGATTGTTTGGTGCAGCTTGGTTAAGCTGAAAGTTGATAGTTACAAAAGTAGAAGCCAAAGTATCTCTCCCCAACTCATTCAAAAAAAAAAAAAGTTATCTCTCCCCAACTTCCTTTTTTTTTCCATAATCAGCTTTTTTAAATTATTTTTGCCTATGTAAGCATACGATTCCAAAAATATTTTAAAATAATACTAATAATACAAATAAATGAAGTCATATATTTATCATAAATAAATAAAGTCATATGCAGCCTCGATAAGCTTTTTTTCAAACATTCTGGCATAATTTTTTAAAAAATAAATAAAAACAAAAACTCCATAAGCTGCACCAAACAGGCTCAATGATGCAAACAGCAACACAAAAAATGATTCAGATATAAAGTTTCAAGTCTGATTAAACCAAAAAAAAAAGGATAAATTTTTAACCAGGTATTTGGTTGGAGTATTTGGGAAGTGATTTGGAAAGGAAAAGAGAAAAGGAAGGTAAAATGTGAATAAAATATGCCACTATTTCCCTTGGTTTCATACACTTTGTCCTTTTCTTTTCCAAATCCCCCAACCAAACACACAGCGTAAGAGAGAACACCAAACAATTCGTTGAAAGAGTAATAAATACAAGTTCATATATATATATACACACACAATCTCAAATAAATTGCTCAAGAAAGAGAAAACCCAGTTCAAATTTCAATGAGAAGTTGAAGAAAAATTGAGAATTGGACCTGATGGGCATCCTGAGAAGGGATAATGTAAGCGTCGATGCCAACATGGGGCTTGGAGACGAGGTCGCGGAGAGCTCGAAGCTTGTCGTCCTGCTCTCCATCAGCGCGTTTCTTCCGGAGCTCCGAAGAGGGCTTGGCAGTGATGGAACTGGAATTTCGGGCGATCATGAGATGACGGGGTTTCGAATTCGGGGACGTAGTTGAAATTGAAGGGGTGGTACTGAATTGTGTGAAAATGGGGATGGATCGAGAAAAGAAGCGAAAGTAGGAGCGAGGGTGGAGCTGGGAAGAAGGAGATAGTATGGTGGGAGTGGAGAGACAGAGAGATCTAGAGAGAGAAAGTGAAGATGATGCAGCTGCTTTGAACTCCATGACTTTGAAGAGAGAGAGAGAGAGAGAGAGAGAGAGATGATCTGTGAAGATAAGGCTTGAGAAGAATGTTTTTTTTTTTAGGTAAATTACACTGACGCGCCTAACGTTTTTGTTTAATACAAAACTCTCGCATTTTGAAAAATTACGGTTGCCTTTTATAGAGTTTTTAGAATTATGATTTGAGATTGAGGTTGTATTTTAAGTTTATGAATTTTGAAATTATGATTTAAATGTAAAAAATTTATTTAGTTATAAATTTTGAAGAGAGTTTAAATTTAATGATGTGACATATAATATTGAAAAGTGGTATTTTGAAAAGTAAGTGTAAAATTAATTTTCTAAAGTTGTTACCAAATAACACACTCAAACTAAAGAGTAGAATTAAATTTCAAAAGTTCTACTAAACAGAGCCTACATTCTTGTCCTTAACCTTAAGGTTATGTAATCTCATTACAAATTGCTCCATGCATTACTGATGTCATATTTTAAAAAATTTTAAATGATCGTTTCGTTCTTTTTTCTACTATTTCTTTTTCTTATCATTGTGATTATATTCTATAATTTTTCATCATTAAATTCTATCAGAATATTTAGTTATAAATTTTGAAGAGAGTTTAAATTTAATGATGTGACATATAATATTGAAAAGTGGGTATTTTGAAAAGTAAGTGTAAAATTAATTTTCTAAAGTTGTTACCAAATAACACACTCAAACTAAGGAATAGAATTAAATTTCAAAAGCTCTACTAAACAGAGCCTACATTCTTGTCCTTAACCTCAAGGTTATGTAATCTCATTACAAATTGCTCCATGCATTACTGATGTCATATTTTAAAAAATTTTAAATGATCATTTCGTTCTTTTTTCTACTATTTCTTTTTCTTATCATTGTGATTATATTCTACAATTTTTCATCATTAAATTCTATCAGAACATATTCTTATTAAATAACAATATAAAAACATAAATTTTATATGAAATTTTAAAATACAATGATATAATTTAATGAAGACCTTTCACTTTAAACCAAAACACCCATAAATATGATTTATATTTATAACAATATATCACTATCACAATATTTTTATAATATTTTTTATATAAATTTTATATATGAATATAATTTTTCATTTTTTATTTCTACTATCTATATAATAAGGCACAAAGGTTTTTGAAAATATGTGAAAATATATGAGAGATTCATTTGTATAAATAGCTGAGATCTTTCTTGATCAACATCTAATGGTTCTATCTCTCAAACACTCTTCTTCTGTCTCTCAAACACTCCTTTCATTCCTGTCCAAATGTATCAATCACTCATCTTCTTCTGTCTCTCAAACGCCTGCCTCCCACCTACCCCTTCTCCCTCTCTTTTTCTTGATTTCAAATTTGAAACTCTTTCTTTCTCAGCTTTTGCCTCTGCATTTCTCTCTGGCTTCATCAGAGCTTACTCCGACCGTCATTCAAAATCACTCTGACTTGCAACTCGGTTCTCTCCGGCAGTTTGATTCACTCTGATTGTCGTTGACTCCAGCAGCTTGGTTGCAGAATCAGAGCTCACTTCGACTACTCCTGTAAGCTTATTATAATAAGAGTTTGGTGTGATTTTAGTTTTATGTCTTTGTTAGGGTGAGGCTTTTTTTAGGTTGGTCTAATCTGGGTTTGATTTTAGTTTTTGGCCCTCAAAATAAATTAGAATCATGTTGGTCTAATTTGAGTTAGAATATCTGGGTTTATACATATCTATTGGTCTAATTTGAGTTAGAATTTGGAATCATGTTGGTCTAAGATATTGGAATCATGTTGTTACATAGTTTATACATATCTATTAGTCTAACACTCTGGCTAACTTGCTTAATGCTATGGTTCTCTCTTTCATTCATTCATCTAATATCTGGGTTTGTATTCATTTGGTGGTAATATCTGCTATGGAGTTTTTTAGGTATTTTCTAGATTGCTCTAAAACACATAAGTTTGCGTTTGTGTTTGTGATATGAGTTTCTATATTTTTAGGTATTTGGATTGCTCTAAACTGATATGTTTTTCTACATGTTTGTGTTTGTGATATGGGTTTCTATATTTGTGTTTTTTCTGAACTGATATATTACTCACACTATGTTTTTCTATTGCTCTAAAATACATAAGTATTTGTCTTTTTCTATTTGGTTTCTTGTTTATTTATTTGTGTTTTTCTATATTTCTATATTTTTCTATTTGGTTTCTTGTTTTTGGCTGGGCAAAAGAATAATTTCTCCTAGGTGATATTTTCATAAATTTAATTTTTTTTCTTTCCTTTTAAACGAAGCCCAAAGTGAATGTTGCTATCAAGTTGTTACTTTCTGTGGTTACTTTCTTTGTACCACTGTTTGTTTGTTTGTTTTTTTTTTTAATTATATAAACTCCATACATATGATAAACTCCATACTTTCAGCTTGATATGCTTTTGAGGCAAACAAATTGAAGCAACTTTTTGTAACTTTGGTTTTTAGTTTTATTTTGTGGAGAAATTGGGTTACAAACGAGTGAACTCGGACCAAACCCATCACAACATTTTTTAGTTTTATTAGAAAGCTGCAGAAACCAACCAACCCAACAGATTTTACATATTTTCCCATGAATATTTAAAACTTTCATCAGATTTTAGAATTTAGATTTTAGATTTTTTAAACTTTTTCAATGTGTTGGGTTAGATTTTTTGAATTCCCAACACATTTCCCCCCCAATTTCTAATCTCAATCCCGCTGTCGAATATAGAAGTCATTGGAAGGAAGACAGTGTAATGGAGACTGAAATGTAAATAAATTAAATATATATTTTTTTAAAATCTAAAACTTGACAAAAGCATCAAGTAACAACTAAAAGACAAGCATCAAGTAAATAAATTATTTTTTTAAATCTAAAACGATTAAGAGAATCAAACTAAGTAAATTGCAGTTATAGTGTAGTTTGTTAAGAGAATAAAAGACAAGCTACTGCCATCACTGGGTATTGACTATGACATGAATCCCTCTACCAAGTCATTTGACGGCCATAACTCTTTATCACAATAAGAGTAACCAAAGTTAATTGCATATGGAGAATTAACTAAACATTTGTTTATTTATGTCATTTTTACTGAAACAAATTTTAGAAGCAGAATGGGTAAAACAAGATTAAATCTGAAATATAATAAATAAAAGCCAAGAAAATGAAGAATAGTATCAAAATTAATGTACACTCTGTCTATTCTATATTATAAAGGGAATAACACACTTGGGAGTGGTTTGGGGTTTAATTGCAATTCCGCTCTCATCATTATCGAGCGATTGAAAGATTTAATTGCTTCAAATTTAAATAACTGTCATGATTGATCTAATTGTTTCACGCACATAGTGTGTGCCCATACTTCATGGAAATAAAAATTTGCCTTCAACATTTTTGGAAGGTAATTCCATCAACAGTAGGTATGGTTGTTTTTCCATTAGTAATCAAAATGTATTCAAGCTATTTTTTAGGATTAGTGGTTAATTATACCCACAAACAGGGGTATGTATCTTTACTCTAGAGTCAAAATTGATCATTTTTGCCTATTAAATTCCTAGAAGTTCTAACTTAACCCAAATGTTTGCTTTGAATCAAATTGGCTGTTTGTGCACCAAGTATTTAACATCTTATTATAAAAAAAAATGTATTGAACTTAAAAGTATTTAACTTAACTCAAAAAAATGTATTTAACATTTTATTATATTAAAAAAAAATTGTACCATTCAAATGTAATATACTTGTTGTGTGATTCTAAAAAGAAAATGACTATTTTTTTTTATTTAAATTTTTTTTTTGAATATATAGAGTTCCTAATTAAAAGAAAAATTTGAAAGACTTGACATTTTAATATTTACATGTAATATGGCAAGAGAGTTTTTTTTTTTTTTTTTTTTTTTAAGGGAGTATAATATTCAATGTTATATTCCAAAAATTCTGGTTAATGTATGTGTGTGTGTATTACTTTAGTTGCCTTTATGAAATAATTATTCATTATTGTTTATAAAATGGCTTTGTTACATGGTGAATTTTTATTTTTTTTTTGGGTATAAATTTATGTTTGGACTTTCAAAGTCATAAATGGTGAATTTCAAAATATTTATGATTATAATGAGTTTTGATTTTAGTTTTAATGTCATCTCTATAAAATTGAAGTCAGTTAACAAAGAGAAAAGTTCAAATTTAGACAATTCTTGTGGTCTGGTTTTAATTTATCATTTTAATGTGATTGTTAAAAAAATCCATTCTAAATGTTGGGTTGACTCAAAAAATGTGAGTTTGATTATGGGTTTCTCAAAATATATATATATATATAGAGAGAGAGAGAGAGAGAGAGGGGAAGAGACTGTTTGTTTGGAGCTATTTAAAAAGAAAGTAAGGGTAATTTATTTAGTTGATCTTCCTGTAACAAAAAAATTAAACTGACACTCAAAAAAATTTATTTAACATTTTATGTGCTGTGTAATATATTTATTTAGATATACCATTCAAATGTAATATATTTGCTGTGTGATTTTAATGTATAGAAGATAAATATTTTTCATAGAATTTGTTTTTGAATATCTAGAGTTCCTAATTAAAAGAAAAATTTTAGAGACTTGGCATTTTGACATTTATGTGTAATATGGCAAGAGAATTTATTTTTTATTTTTCATTTTTTTGCACCTTTTTAAGGGTGTATAGTATTCTATGTTGTATTTCAAAAAATTTTGGTGAATGTATATATGTGTGTATTATTTTAGTTGTCTTCATAAAAAAAAATGTATTAAACTTACAAGTATTTAACTTAACTCAAGTATTTAACATAATCCGTTTTGCTTTGAATCAAATTCACCAAGTATTTAACTTAATCCACAAAAATGTATTTAACATTTTATTATGAAAAAAAAATAAAAAAATTGTACCATTTAAATAGAATATATTTGTTGTGTGGTTCTAAAAAGAAAGTGACTATTATTTTCATTTAATTTTTTTTTAATATCTAGAGTTTCTAATTAAAAGAAAAATTTGAAAGACTTGGCATTTTAACATTT